TGTAGTTTTAGTCCAGTGGAAACGGTGCTATAGGCAAAAAAGAAAAAGTAACAATTGCTGAAACTCCGTTTTTGACATTACAGGGGTTCCTTATCATTGACAGAAAAAAATTGTACTGCTTAAATAGTGGGGGTTGGGGGAAGGTGATTCTGAATGTTGCATCTTTGATATCAGTGAAACACGTTCTATTATTAAGAAGCTTCTGATCCCAGTGATTACAGGAAATTTAAGTTACGAAAATCCGACGAATAATTGAAAAAATCGGTACCTGTTCTATAGATTTGACACCAAGAGCCAGCAGATCTATCTGCAACTGCCGACAGTAGGGAAGAATGAATTCGGATATCACTCCAGTCAAGTATAGGGGAATTTAAAATTATCGATATGTCAAGGAAATATGTTTTTGAGAACGATAATTTGGTAGATTTTATACCTGCATTTTCATTTGAATTTCATGAGCCGTGAAAGGTACCCATTTCGCCGTTACGTTCAATTTGTGTTCAGCAGTTTGTAATGTTTTTCTGGATATAAGCAGGACATAATTGCCTAAGGTGCTAGCAGAGCGTTTTACAAAAATTTGTCTTTGCGCAAGAATTATGGTGGGTTGAAATGCTTACTATCGAATTTGTGCTCAACTTCTTGATATTCTAAAAAGATCCTAGTGCATAAACTCGAAAAAGTGGATCGTTAGCACCCTGTGGACTTTGTTTTTAGAGTTTCATTTGGAAATAATAAAAAATGAAACGTAAGCTGTAAAGTGCAAATCGGTTTTTGGGCGAAATTCGTCTGCTGTTCCGTCCTCCCAGTCCAAGCCACGCGACGGTGCGTTCCGACTAAGAAAAAATGTATTCAAATAATTTGTTATCTTTCCTAAAATAAATTCAAGAACTCAAATTACAATTCGTTTATTCGTGTCAGTAAACACAATTATGTTTACAAGGGTCATGTGGTACATGGTAACAATTGAATGAGAGTCATAAAAATATCTTATACCGTGTAAATAAGAGGAAACAGTTAGGTAGTTTTTGCAAAGCAATAAACAGGAAGGCTTATACCTGGCCATAGGCGTGGGAAGTAAAAAGCAGAAAACATTTTTCTTTTCTATTGTGTGTAATAATTCTAAAGTCACTATTCGACCAGATATTTAATTACTTTTGAGGAATAGAGAGGATGTTTCGAGATTGCTGCTTTCTATAGACCATCTTAAAAGAACAAATTCTTAAAATAGTCTAAACAAATTAGCAAATTTTCCCGAAATAATTGTAAAGTCTGGTTTTATTGGTGCAGGTTGTTCAAGGGGATATTTGAAACATGGGTACACCAATTTTTGTGAGAAAACTTTTTATTTTACAACAAAGAATGGGAAAACGTGTTTTTTGGGATTCAATCGAAAGTGTTGGCAGGAACGAAAAACTCTTCATATAAGATTTTTCGGTATTTATGAGACCTACAAAATTCGTACCACAACAAATTCCAAAATAAAACCAGACTTTACAATTCTTTCGCAAACCAGAGGTATTTTCGTCTAATATGATTAATTAATTAATTAAGATATGTACAAAGAACTTGAAACGCATGTGATACAATCATACCAACAGGAGAAATGTACTTACGTCTACTTAAAAAAGATCTGCTTTGTCGTTCGATGTTCGCTGACGATACTATCAACAGTGAGACAATGACCAAGAGCAACAAAGTGCGTTTAGAACACATTTCATCAAAATACCGAGGAATTTCATGCCCTGATATGTTTATATATACCGTCTTCGTACACAAAATTGACAGCTAATTTAGATTAGATATGTACTCCAAAAGTAGTAATGCATTATTGGAAATATGGGAGATATTCATGTTGTTTTTCACGCATGAGGGAGGAAAACGTGTTATTTAATAAATCAGACCTGACGACAACTTGAAATATAACGAATGCCTCAATTCATTATTTTTGGAGTCGATGTACGTTTATCTTGGTATTGATTTTTTCAGAACCATTCCTTTCGGTCATGTCGATTTTTTGACATTGTATTGGTTTTTTGTAATATTATGTAGGTTTTTCTACAAGATGATAATTTAGCAAACGTGGAATGAACTCTATTTGCACACTAAAAGCTACCTAATCTGCAAGATGACATTTAGTTTTTTTGCCGCTGTTTAGGTCGTTCTTGAAGTGGTTGAAGAAGATCCAGGTATCAGCATTCAGAGATCAGAACATCCGTTCTTTTTACGTTGAGCTTGTAAAGGAATGATTGCCCACTGACCATCACTCACAAAATATCTCAGAACGCAGAGCAGCTGTTAGGATATTCCACAAGAAAATTTTCTTGACATATGAGTCGATGCTGTGCGCAAACTCATCATTGAAGATAGACATGTGACATATCGCGAGATTGAGGCGTCCCTGAAGATCTCAAAGACCTCAATTCAAAAAATTTTACATGAAGAATTAGGAATAAGAAAATTAGTTTCTCGTTGGATAGCCCACCTGTTGACTGAAAAGCAAAAAGCAGCCAGGGTTAATTGGTGTCAAAAAACGCTTGAACGTTTCAATTCCGGAAACTCAAAAAATGTGTACAGCATTGTTAGTGGTGATGAAACGTGGATTTACTGTTATGAACCTGAAAATAAACGACAGTCGGCTGTTGGGGTGTTCCAAGGTGAAGAAAAACCAACAAAAGTCGTGCGTTCTCGAAGTGTTTCGAAAAAGATGGTCGCGACATTTGTGACAAAAGCGGGTCATATTGCAACAATTCCTCTTAATGAGCAAAGAACTGTTACTGCGGATCGGTATACCACCATTTGTTTGCCAAAAGTCATCACCGAGCTTCGAAAAATCAAACCCAAAAGAAGAATCATCCTCCACCAAGACAATGCAAGCTCGCACACAGCCCAAAAAACAAGGCAGTATTTAACGGAAGAAAACGTGGAATTATTGGACCATCCTCCATATAGTCCCGATTTCTTCATAAAGACATTTTCAATGGGAATTTAAAATTAATATTTGGATAGGGATTGTTGGTAGTATTTGAGTTGGTCCATATACGAGTAGGTTGCCATATAAATTAAATGGAGAGAGATATCTTCGTTTTCTACAATACGTTTTGCCTGAATGTGAGAGGGGACATGTTTTTTTGTGAATCATGGTAGTCTACCTCACTTTGTGCGTACCTTAAGAAAATACTTGAATAAGAAATTTGATGGTACATGGATTTGTAGAGGTCAAAAAGCTCCTATTCAATGGCCACCTCGTTCCCCGGATCTTAATCCTAGCGATTTTTTTATATGGGGGCATTAACAAAAGTATGCGAGGTTCAGATAGACAACGTCAAGCAACTATGGGACATGATTCAGAATGCTGCATATACATTAAAGAAAAATGACATTTTAAATAAAGTTAACTATATTTTTTTGCGCCGTATTCTTATGTGCACTAATTGCTTATTTTCGCTAACTAAATACACTTAGAGAAGCGTGGACATCTCTTGATGCAACTTATTTTTTTCCCAGAAAACTATCCGAGATGGCCTGCTTAGATAAGAGACAGAAAATGAAATAAATAAAATCATCTGATAAAAAAAAAATCAGAGTCGTCGGGAAAGTTGCGAAAAAAAAATCTGCTATAATTTATGTAGGGGTGGGGGTATGGTGAACCCTTCTCGAATCCTTCCAGGTTTTTTTATAGAAGTGAACCATTAGGACTTCTAGCGAAACAACTGTTCCAAATTTAATTCAAATCGGGCTATCGGTTCTTGAAATATGTGGAAAAATGTGTTTCAGAAAAAAAACTTTTGACTCCTTCAAATGAAGCATAGAGGTAAATCATGTCCATTGGACTTATTTTGAGTCTGAAGATACTTGATATACGTTTTTGTAGATCCTACGTTAAGTACCCGCAAATTGGAGACTGTGTGTGGTGTTAGTCAACGTACTGTCCAACGGATTCTAAAGGCCCATAGTTTTCATCCGTATAAAATTCACCCGGTACAAGAACTTAATGAAGACAATTTTGATCTGCGATTACAATTTTGTGAAGATATGAGTGAACGAATTATAAACGATGAAATGTTCCTTTTTCTTAAATGGCGTAGTAAATCGTCATAACTGCCGATATTGGTCCGATTCTAGTCCCAGAATTTGTCATGAGGTTTATACGCAGCAGCCACAAAAATTAAATGTTTGGGCTGGTATTTTTGGCGATCATTTAGTTGGTCCTTTTTTCTTACCTGGAAATTTGACCGGTGAAATGTATTTGAAATTACTGGAAGACGCCATAGATCCTACATTAACAGCCATAATTGAAAATCAGAATGATTGGCGGTACATTGCGAATAGGTTGACGTTCCAACAGGATGGTGCCCCACCACATTACGCATTACGTTTCCAGATCGATGGATTGGTAGAAGAGGTGCCATTGAATGGCCCCCAAGATCGACAGATTTATCACCTTTGGATTTCTTTATGCGGGGTCATTTAAAAAGCAAAATCTATGCTACTCAGCCAACATCATTACAAGACCTGCGACAAAGAATTGTGAATGAGTGCCTTCAAATTACTCCTCAAATATTCCAAAATGTGCGGCAACGTTTTGAGCAATATCTTTATTATGGCATGGAGAGTCATGGTGGCCATTTTCAATTTACAGGCAGCAGCGGTGGCCACAGTAGTAGACTCTTCGGTCTCCTGATCAGTCGCCGTGCGCTGTGCGGGTTCGAGTCCCGTCCCAGGAGAAATTTTTCTCTTGCTATGGATGTTGTGATTGTCCGTAGGTGGTAGACGGTCTCTGACTGTCGAACGCGGAGGTACCACCCGGCGGATCTCGTAGGCGGAGCCAGAATGTGTGCATGTTGCATGTACACGTGTTCCCTCGCCAGAGTCCGTGTGGCGTTCCCCTATAGCCCCGCGGTACCCAATGGGTGCTTAGGCCTTAGGCCTTCGTGGTAGTTGGAGTATAAAAAAAAAGGAACACCCTGTATTCTATACCGCTAGTGTCGTTCAGTATATTATGTTAACACCGCATAACATTGACACAAATAGGTCATTCTGTTGACAGTCTGTATTTTGGGTGGAAATCCTCCCGTGTTTCCAAATTATTCGAGGACCTCTTGACTATCATTATTTCTGTGTGGTGGGCCAAATTCATTAATCAGTATGGATGACCAAGAGCGAGAACAGCAACGGCCCCAAAGTGGCTTCGATGATGAGTTCGGCGAGGGAGGCCTCAATTTCGACGACATCGCGGAGGCCGATATGCTAGACTTCACCAGAGAATGCAAGGACAGCCAAACTCTGTTGCTGAAGAACACATGGTCTTTCCGATGCTTGGCACAAGTGCAGTTATCTCACAGTTCTCTTATGAGGAATATAGCGTTTCTTTTTCCGCCATTGGAGGATCCTGGGATTGATGCGGTCTTTGATTATGCCGGTATTTCTGAACATACCAACGAATTCGAATGGGTTACAAGGCGAAAAGCCTATACAGAGATATCCAAATATCACTGACGAGCTAATATGTGCGACAGCGTGCAATACGAATGTTAGAAAGAGATAGAAGCAGGCTGAAGCGCAAAGGTCATCTCCTCATTGCCTAGAAACGGTAAGGCGGAAGCTCGTACATTAGGTTAGGTTACTGTTAGACCCAAGATGTCGATGGCAATGCGACAAGCCGCAGCTGAGTCCGTCGCCTAGTCACTTGGGTTGCTAGGCAACGTGGTGATTCTATCTCTTTCTAACTTACGTATTGCATGCTTCTCTCTCGTACACATTACGATGTTTGTGGTACATTGCATTGTTTGTCGTCAAAGTTGTGTAGTTTTAGTACATAGAAGTCGACGTCAAGCCGAAACCGGGTGATAGGCAAAGTCATAACAGCTATCAGAAAAGTATTTAAAAAAATTTTATGCATGTGTTTTGAAAATTATAGGTCTTTGAAAAAAATATAGAAATTTCACACCCGACGGCAGTCTGTCAAATCCTGTTACTACAAATATTAACTTTTTTTGGATTTTATTTTTACAATGTAATGATGAATAATGCATCTTCAAACTGGTGTCTCAACCTTACTGCCAACTTTTCTCGTTCAGGAAAAATTGCCACTTATTTCCCAACCAAGTATTCCAAAGTAAAACTTTGCTCAACTTTAACTGGCTGTACTGGAAAAAATGTACTACGAGAGTTTGGCAAGTAACCTTAAGAGTTGGCGCATTTAATAACGATTCCAAAATGGTATAACACTTAGAAGATTACTCGTTAACTTATGCACAATTTTTATTTGAAAAAAACTGATGGAAATTTTTTAAAATTTCCTAATTAAACAGCGATTATGAAAACGCACAAGGACCCTTAAGGATAACTGTTTGCACAACAGTGGGCGTCAAAATGCTGCTGATGATGATTTACCTTTACAGCAAATGCTCAAACTGTTTTCCTTCAGCCGCAATACACGCTCGACATCTTCTTAAAAAAGATCGGATTATTAAAGAGCGAATCCACGGTTATTAACAAACTCAGCTGCTTCCAATAGTCTTTGCCGTAGCTCAGCTACATTTTGAATCGGCTTGAAATACACTTTTTCTTTTACAGTTCCCCAGTAAAAAAAATCTAACGGATTCAAATCTGGTGACCGGGCTGGCCACGGTATTGTACCAGACCGCCCTATGCATCTGCCTGGAAAGTTTTGATCGAGATACTCTCTCACTGAGAGTGCAGAGTGCGCTGGGCAGCCATCATGCTGAAACCACATGTCTCTGTAAATACTCAGTGGCACGTCCACCAATAAATTTTCTAAATGATTTTGCAAAAAACCTAAATAAACCTCAGCAGTCAAAGTCTCTGGGAACACAAACGGACCGATTATTTTACCATATAAAATTCCTGTCCAATGGTTTATCTTGAAGCGATATTGAGATTTATGTTCTCTCATCAAATGTGGGTTTGCTACGTGCCACTCGTGTAAGTTATGCAGGTTCGTGTACCCATCTTTCTTAAATGTGGTCTCATCTGACCATAAAATTTTTTCAAAGAACCGTGGATCTCCTCTGTGTCTTTCTAACATTGTGCGACAAAAAGCAACTCGGGCCTCATAATCCCGAGGCAGAAGAGCTTGAACACGCTGTACGTGGTATGGATGGAGCACGTTTTTTTTGCAAGATTCTATGGTCTGTACTTTTGGGCACACCTGTTTTTAGTTCTATTGCACGCACTGAAGTACTCGGGTCTTCTTCGACAGCTCCTAGCACCACGTCTTCGTAAAGAGGGAAAGATCTTCCCTCACCGTGTAATTGGTTTGGTAGTTGGCCCTCTGAGAACAGTAAGCGGTGCACATTTGTGAACACTCGATGATCTGGATGACGAGCTGCATTCGGGTACCTCTCACAGTAAAGTCTCGCTGCAGCACTAGCGTTGCATCTGCATTCCCCATAAATGAGGTGCATGTTAACATATTCTTGTACGGTGTACACGGACATAGCGGCACTGCACAATCACACTATCAAAGATAGTCTAAGGAAAGCAAATGTTGTTTTGAAGAGCAATTAAACAGTCCAAATCACAAGCGATCAACAGTCCAGTTTACGAATCCAAAATTAGTAACAGTACGAAATCAACAAGCACGAACATGTAAAGATGCGCAGTAAACGAAGCAGTACTGATCGGTATCAAAGTGTGCAATAGCAAGTAAGTGATGTGCTTCATCCATACCACATACAGCGTGTTCAACCTCTCCTGCCCCGGGATTATGAGCCCCGAGTTGCTTTTTGTCTCACAATGTTAGAAAGACAGGAAAGATCCACAGTTCTTTGAAAAAATTTTATGGTCGGATGAGACCACATTTAAGAAAGATGGGTACATGAACCTGCATAACTTACACGAGTGGCACGTAGCAAACCCACATTTGATGAGAGAAGATAAATCTCAATATCGCTTCAAGATAAACCATTGGACAGGAATTTTAAATGGTAAAATAATCGGTCCGTTTGAGTTCCCAGAGACTTTGACTGCTGAAGTTTATTTGGATTTTTTGAAAAATCATGTACAAAATTTATTGGTGGACGTGCCACTGAGTATTTACAGGGACATGTGGTTTCAGCATGATGGCTGTCCAGCGCACTATGCACTCTCAGTGAGAGAGTATCTCGATCAAAACTTTCCAGGCAGATTTGAATCCTTTAGATTTTTTATAGGGGAACTGTAAAAGAAAAAGTGTATTTCAAGCCGATTCAAAATGTAGCTGAGCTACGGCAAAGTCTATTGGAAGCAACTGAGTTTGTTAATAACCGTGGATTCGCTCGTTTAATAACCCGATCTTTTTTAAGAAGATGTCGAGCGTGTATTGCGGCTGAAGGAAAACAGTTTGAGCATTTGCTGTAAAGGTAAATCATCATCAGTAGCATTTTGACGCCCCCTTAAGGGTCCTTGTGCGTTTTCATAATCGCTGTTTAATTAGGAAATTTTGAAAAATTTTCATCAGTTTTTTTTCAAATAAAAATTGTGCATATGTTAACGAGTAATCTTCTAAGTGTTATACCATTTTGGAATCGTTATTAAATGCGCCAACTTTTATGGTTACTTGCCAAACTCTCGTAGTACATTTTTTTCCAGTACAGCCAGTTAAAGTTAAGCAAAGTTTTACTTTGGAATACTTGGTTGGGAAATAAGTGGCAATTTTTCCTGAACGAGAAAAGTTGGCAGTAAGGATGAGACACCAGTTTGAAGATGCATTATTCATCATTACATTGTAAAAATAAAATCCAAAAAAAGTTAATATTTGTAGTAACAGGAGTTGACAGACTGCCGTAGGGTGTGAAATTTCTATATTATTTCTATTTTTCAAAGACCTATAATTTTCAAAACACATACATAAAATTTTTTTAAATATTTTTCTGATAGCTGTTATGACTTTGCCTATCACCCGGTTTCGGCTTGACGTCGACTTCTGGGACACCCTGTATATCCTGAACGTGGTATATCTGAAAGTTTGTTATTGTCTAGATTTCAAGTGCAGTCTTTAGAACTGAGAAGGAAGTGTGCATCGATTATGTTCTTGCATAAACTACTGCACATTCAAATTGATGCTAATGGGATTGTGGCTCAAATAAAGTTTAATGTTCCATCTATTCAAACTCGTACAGCTAAAACATTTTATTGTGACAGGGCTCGCACAAATTTGTTTTTGAAGGCACCCAAATTATTGTGATATATACTAAGTGACATATAAATCCGAACACCCAGTTTAAATGGTTTTATTTTAATAAAATTTTGTATAAGTACTTAATGAAGCATAATAAGTAAATGATAAAAATTTCAAAATGATTGCACTGCTTTAAAGCAATTTGACCTTTCCTGTGGTATCTCATTCTAGGCAACCACCAACTCCTCTCGAAGTGCTTCTAGAGTCTGAGGAGGACGTTGCAAATTGAGCAATCTCCTACCCATCATATCCCACACGTGCTCAATTGGGGATAAGTCGGGAGATCTTGGTGGCCATGGTAACAATGTGACATCATTATGTTGAAAGAAGTCTATTGTGACTCTTGCAAAATGTGGTCGGGCATTATCTTGTTGGAAAGTTGGATCTGCCAGGGTGTCAAGATAGGGTAAAAGATGGGGTTCTAGAACTTCGTGGATATAACGCTGCGCGTTCATGTTACCTCTGATGAAGATTTAAAGGTGACCTTGAACCATAAGCTATAGCACCCCAAACCATAACTCCAACATGTCTTTCAACAAAAAACTGTGGATTCCTCCTTTCATCACGTCGCCTTCTAACCCTGGCACGACCATCGTGCATGCCTGAACAAAATCGAGACTCATCACTAAAGACAATACTGTTCCATTCCTGATCCCAGAGTGACCGTTGTCTGCACCACTCAAGGCGATTACGTCGCCGTCGGTGTTCTCGAATACTTCTCATTCGTCGGTAAACACTTCGCATGCCAATAGGTCTTCCGTGTTCTGCAAACCATTCATTTGCAATGGACCTGGTAGTGGAGAAACGGTCCCTTAAGGCCAATAATCTTAGGCGGCGATCTTCACGGTCTGTTGTTCTACGGCGGCGTTCACTGCCCCTTGGTCTTTGCGTACGGCCTTCTCGAAGCCATGCCTGACAACACCTAACCACAGTGTCTACACTTCTTTGCACTCTAACTGCAATTGCCCGAAAAGAAAGTCCAGCTTCCCGAAGTCCCACTATACGGCCCCTATCAAACTCTCTAAGTTGACGAAATCGTACAGGTCTCCGTACTCTAGGCATCGTAACCGATCGTAAAGGATGTGAAGAACCAAAATCCGCCAACGTTGATTCTTTACTGCGGCTGAAATATTCATTTTTAGAGCGTTAGTGAATTAAAAAAAAGCAGTATAGAAACCGGAATGTCCAACTGATAAGGCTGAAAATTTTTTCACTTGTTATTTACAGTAAGATAAATACATTCACCAACTTTTATTAAAATAAAACCATTTAAACTGGGTGTTCGGATTTATATGTCACTTAGTATACATGTTGACAGTTTGAACAGTATTCTTTGAGTAGCTAGAAATTGCTTGGATAATTTATGATAGGTCACTCACCTGAGTGAAATATGTTTTTTGCTTCTTTTTCTTGTTTGTTTTTTTCTCTAGATGAAATCAAATGCTTTTTATGTGTTTTCTGTTCTTGTTATTTTGACTTATCTTAGAATTGTCCTGTTAATTGTTTCCTTAACTGTTGGGCAATAAACGCTATTTATTTATTAAATTATCTACCATTGCCTATCGAAGTGGCAATCCAATTCGTCGGAGTACATTTGTTTCTATGGAGAGGTATTCACACTGAGAAAACGTTGTCAATTAAGGAGTTCTTCTGTAAAATTTCCCTCACCCGTAATGAACTTTTTAATGATTCTTAGTAACTAAATTATTCGATTTTATTAAGGACAAACTATGTATATTCCATTTAGGCTCAATTTTATTAAATGGTCACATACAAAAAAATAAAATAATAAATATAATAAAACGGGATAGTCTTAAAAAATTCCAAATGACTGCCCCTTCAATTTTTGCCGATGTTTTGGAAACACCCTGTATAATACGAACCCCTTCCCACTTCAGTTGGCCCAACTATTGAAATCTTAGTTTGTTTCTTATCAAACACAAATAATAAAAATGTAGCAGGGTGTTATAGGTTTTTAAATATAAACAATGAATATTTTTATAATATATATATATAGTAGAACACACCAACTTTATCACTCCCTAATCAAATTTGCAGCATAAAAATAACACATGTTGCAATTACATCATGGTGGCTGTGAAAAATAAAAGCCATGACAATTGTTTTTATTAATCACAGCTGTCAGAATACGTTTAAAATTGTTTTGGGTAGTTAAGGTTTTCAAAATAGGTAGAGGAAAGGTTATTAGTGAGAAAATTCGGTTACTGATAATTAAATTTTTTAATTCTGGGAAATCAAACTCGGAAATTGCAACTTTGTTAGACTTATCGCGGTACAGTGTGAGAAATATTGTTAGAAGATATAACGTAACTGGTTCAGTTAATATTAAGCCACGATGTGTGAAAAAAAGTAATATCACAAATGCCGACCGAAGAGCATTAAGAAGAATAATCGTGAAAAACAGGCGTGCCAATTATTTACAATTAAGTGCTCTGTGGAGTGACGCTGTTGGAAGGAGAATTTCGAGGTCCACAACTCATACATAGGCACACAAACTGGGATTTAGCACTTGCAAGGTAAGCTTTCTTATAAAAAAGGTGAAGTAAAAACCCTAAAGTTGCACAACTTGTTTATAGGCCAAAGAAAAGCCACTATTAACTCCACTGCAAAAGAAAAATCGGCTTAGATGGGCTAAAGAACATAGACAATGGACACCTCAACAATGGTGTGCAATACAATGGAGTGATGAGGCCCGATTAGAAGTTTGTGTTGGTGACAGTCGCAGTAGAGTTATTCGCAAAAAATGAAGCATTTCATGTTGACTGTCTGAACAGAAAAGTGAAATTTCCAGCATCCATTATGGTCTGGGGCAGTATGTCATCAGAAGGATTAGGAAAACATTTTATTGATGGAAATGTGGATACAAACAAATATTTGGCAATTTTAGAAAGATTCGCTTTTACCAGTGATGGAAGAATGTTTGATATCCGGCCAAGATTTTGTGTTTCAGCGAGATGGTGCAGCGTGCCATACCTCAAAAAAGGCTATAAAATGGATGGAAGAAAATAATGTACCACCTTTGAAATGGGTTTCTAGCAGTCCAGATCTGTCACCTATTGAAGCTTTGTGGCACGAGATGAAAACGGTTCTACGACAACATCCTGCTCGTACAATCACCGAACTGAGACAAAAGCGTCAAGAAATATGGGATTGCTTTACACCAAATATTTTCCAAAACTTGGTTAACACTATGCCCCAAAGAATTTCAGCCGTAATAAAAAATAAAGGTGATGTTACCCAATGGTAATCTTTCAATTGTTGCTTTGTTAACTTCGCGCATTTATTCGCACATTGTTTATTTGTTCTGATGTTCTATTAGTTATAGGTCTAAGTGATTTCAAATATGTATTTTTTACTACTAGAGTGTATCTAAAATGTTTTTGAGAAAACAAATTGTTTTAGAAGTAAATAGTTTCGTCATGTTTAGTTTATAAAGGCATATTTTGGTACAAATCTTGAAGTGGGCCAACTGAAGTGGGAAGGGGCTCGTAGCTCTTACAACGCTCTGTCAGGTGATTATTTATCAAAAACTAAGCAATTCATTGCACTATTTTCGTTGGAACCGTTTTTAAAAGTAGTGGCTTTTCTGCAAGATACCGAATTTTTGTGTGTTCTGGTGGCAGTTTTTTGAAACCCTACATGTCTTCCTCGGCATAATCCATATTTTATTGTTGTTTTATCAGAACCGGATCCAACATATGATGATATTGGAGTAGAGAAGTACATTAACCTTTGTAAAGATCTCGAGATAGTACCTATCTCCAGGGTGACCAGATCCCTCACGTCTCCAATTTTGAACTTGAAGGTAATGAAGTTATACCGTAGGTATCTCAGCTTTAGAGTTTCAATCACGGGTCAACTATTTAGCCGAGTAACTATCGTATCAAAATACGATAGCGCAAGAGTCAACTAAATACATGCAAATATTTAAGGGTATGAATCTACATAAAAAATTAATGTTAGTTTGCTTTATAAACTATGGTCCAAAAATGTTTCCTTACAAAAACTCGGGGTGTTGAAGTTTTAGGAAAAAATGGAAATTAATTAATATTTTCAGAACCGCTTCAGATATTTCACTGATTTTCAGTACGTAGTGAAAGTTGATAAGGTTGCATATTTTTCAACGCAAAAATAATTTTAAGCTTTAACAGTGGCGTGCGTACGGGTATTGACTTCGATATTTATTGAGATAAAAATGGTACGCCAATGATTAATTGACAAATAAAAATTATTTTTGTATACCCCTTTCAATTTAAAATAAACGATCTCTTTTGAATTGTTTTCCTTCGATGCGCTATTTTTGAGTAAAAAAATAAAAACCGTTCTATTGTCCGAGAAAATTAATGTAATAATTGAAGAATGCAATTTAGCAATAAATATCTAGTTGCTCTGGAATACGTCACTGGCCTTTGACATCTGACAAGTCTCTGTTATTCAAATCAGTTCGCTGTGACATCTTTTTCAGTATTTAGTTTTTACAATCTTCTTAATAATGGTGAATTACTCAAATGCAGAAATGGTGGAAATGTATTACGTATATGGCCTTGCCGACGGTAATGGTGAGCAAGCCAGACGGATTTATCACCAGAGATATCCCGATCGTGCTTTGCCAGATAATCGAACCTTTTCTAATATTCATCGCGGTCTTGCTGAAACTGGTTCTGTCCGAAAAAGATCGCTAGACACTTAAATATTTGCCATCAAATAGTTTGGAGAATTTTAGTGGATATTTTGTTATATCCTTACCATATTTTAAGAGTACGGGCATTACTTCCCAATGATTTTCCAAGACGTGTGACCGTTTGTCAGTGGTATCTTCAAAAAATTACACAAAATCCGCAATTTGAATCAATGATTCTGTTCACGGTCGAAGCTAATTTTTCCCGAAATGCCATTCAGAATTTCCACGATAATCATTTGTAATAATAATAATAATGCCTTTATTAACTGCAGTGAGGCGGAGTATAGCCAGACGGCTACTCTTACACTCAACCCCACAACAGGAAAAAAAGAATACTTACACACATAAACAAAATAATAACATACCAAAAATAAAATACAATTCATAAGAATGACAACACTGATTGCACGAGACAAATGCAGATAGCATTGCGAGAGTTTTAAATTTGAAACAAAAATAGTAGAAAATAGTCAAACAAAAAAAAAATCACATGAGCACAAGAAAAACTGAACTAAATGGACTCCAGCAGCGGACTTTTCATTAATTTCTTAAAAGAAACAACCTGTTTGGATCGATAGCCACTGTTGACTGCATTGTAATGCTTGACAGCATTATAGGTGTAACTTCTTTCAAAGACCGAGGTATTGTGAGGAGGCATGTTAAAATTAGCATTAAATCTAAGAGCTCTGGTAACAAAACTACCTCGGTGAACTAATTTGCTAGCGAGGTAAGCTGGTCTGTTAGATAATAGCACTTTATGCGTGAAGACGGTCAAAAGATATAGAAATAACTTATCAATTCGCAACCAGTTGAGTTCTTTGATTTTATCTGAGACGCGACTAAACTTGCGCAATCCAAAAATAAACCTACAACAGCTGTTCTGAATTTTCTGGAGTTTCCTTTTGTGGACGTAGTCTAAACATGGGTAATACAGAACAAGAGAGTAAGAAATGACAGACAACACAAGACTTTCAGCAAGCTTTTTTCGGGTTTTAAAATTCAAGATGTATCGATTAGAATAGAGGAGTTTCAAACGCAAATACGTTACTCTAGATAAGAAAGAGACATGCCGATTGAATCTCATATTTAAGTCAAGGGTAACACCGAGATTCTTGGCGTAATCCACAAAAGGGATGAGTGTCTCATCCAAAAAACACAAATCCTCTGCTTCATTTCACGGTAGGAGTTCTTCGAACAGTACAACATTGCAGTAGTTTTATTAGGATTGATCTTCAAGCAGTGTTTGTTACAGTAATCACCGATGTTAGCCAAATCTAAATTAACTTTAAAAGAAACTTCATCAACCTTTGATGGATCGAAACCAAACACTAACTGAGTATCATCTGCATAAGCTTGCATACTACAGTGGACTAAACAGTCTTGCAGATCGATCGTATAAATCAGATATAGTAAGGGACCTAATACTGAGCCCTGAGGAACTCCTGAAGGAACTGGCTCAGAGGAGGAAATTCCCTGATCAGTTTTCACTGTTTATTGATGATTTAGCAAGTATGACTCAAAGAACCTTAGAACTATATCTGACATTCCATAATGAGATAACTTACTCAGTAGTATCTGGTGATTGACCATATCAAAGGCTTTCGAGAAATCTAACAGTACCAAGACGGTGTTGATGTGATTATCTAAATTGTGAATGATGGAATCAGTAAGATGTAATAAAGACGAAGTAGTGCTGTAACCAGCTCTGAAACCTGACTGATGTAGAGGAAATAAGTGGTTTTGTTCGAAAAACTCCACTAATTGTGAGTAGACAGCTCTTTCGAGTATTTTTGATAGAAAGCATAATAAGGTAATTGGCCTGAGATCCGAATATTGTTCTGGATGATTAGGTTTAGCTATTGGAATAATAATACCATTTTTCCAACTGACAGGAAAGTAACCTGTTTCGAGACAGACATTAATAATGTGAGTTATATGGTCTATGGTATCAGGCAAACATAAGCAAACCATATTTAAAAATAGACCATCAGAGCCACATGCCGTAGACTTAATGTGAGAGATTATATTGACGATGTCTTGTTGAGTAAGGAGTTTAAAAGCAAACAGAGGTGCATCCGGTGTATGGCCTCTATCGCTATAAGAGTTAGAGACACTATCAATCAAATTTGTATCAGCTGCAGCTGTCTGGAAAATTGAAAGAAAATAATTATTTAAAATGTTAGGCTCAAGGAGACTGGGAGGTATCGCAACATGTTTCTGGGCTACCACATTCATCCTCCTCAGGTGTTTCCAAGCTTGACTAGAGTTAAGATTCCGGAAACGTGACATATATGCTTTTTTCTCTCTTCTAAGCGATGCAAGGGCATAATTTCTCAAATCTTTGTAGGTGGCCCAATTCTGATCAGATCTGTTATGCTGATAGACAGCGAATGCCTCATCTCTGAGTTGAAAAATCATTTTCAAGTTAGGAGTGAGCCAGGGCGCAGCAGGTTTTGTGACACGTACTGTACGTAGCGGAGCGTAGAGATCGAATAGATAAAGTAAAAATAGAGACTTTAATATCCACATCATTCACGAAATAAATGTCATTAAGCTGCATTGATGCAATCTGCGTCTTAAAACTTTGAATATCAATGCTATTAAGATTTCTAAATGTTACAAATTTAGGCTCTATTTTTTTATAACAAACGGAAATATCACAGTATGTGAGCCGATGATCACTAATTGAGTCTGCATTGAGTGTCCCTGACCTTTTGACGATAGTATTGTCACTAACAAATATTGGATCAAGTAATGTGGAACTGAAGGCTGTAACATGTGTAGGCTCATCAATGACTTGAATGAAATTGAATGAATCAAAGCAGCTGCTGAGGATCTTGTTATGAGCAAGCAAGTCGACATTCATATCGCCCAAGAATATAATGTTGTCATGTTGGGGAGTGAAAAATGAGATAAGATTTTCTCAACACTGGATGGCTTGATGTATAGACCAATGTGGTGGCCTATATATAACAACAATTAACATACTGGATCCGTGCAGTTTAAATTTATAGCATAACAATTCAAGAGGATTTATAAAGTCATCGAGCTCAACTGGGATAAGATTAGTGCTAATATCTAAGAAGAAAATCCCTATGCCGTAACCGAAACCCATTTTAAACACCAATTTTCGGTTAACGTATGGACAGGAATTATTGGCAACCTCATTCTTCTTGCCGGGACGACTTGACGGACAGTCTTACTCCAATTTTGCTGCTTGATGATGTTCCGTTAGTAATAAGAAACAATATGTGGTACGTGCATGATGGTGCACTAGCGCATTTCAGTGTAGCGGTTCGTAATTTCTTTAAATTATTTACAAACTGTTTATCCAAATCGTTAGATTGGCCGCGGTGGGCCCCAAGAATGGCCACCAAGATCCCCAGACCTCAACAGTTTAGATTTCTTTTTCTGGGGATATCTTAAGACACTAGTGTACACAAGTCCCAACTGTCGAAGAATTAAGAGAAAGAATAGTTGCAGCTTGTGATAGAATAAAAAATACTCCAGGGATATTTCAACGAGTGCGCAATTCCATGAGAAGGAGAGCGAAAGCATGCATACTAAGTGAACGGGGGCATTTTCAACGATTTTTGTAATCATTTCGTTGGTTTTCATGTTATGTTTATGTTGTCAGTTGTTGTTGTTCATTACCCGTAATGTGTTTAATTTTTCCTAGTAAATTAATAATAATTTTGCAAGTTAGACAATAGAACAGTTTTTATTTTTTTACTCAAAAATGGCGCATCGAAGGAAAACAATTCATTTGTTTTAAATTGAACGGGTAATCCATAAATAATTTTTATTTGTCAAAAAACCATTGGCGTACCATTTTTTTCTAAAAAAATATCGAACTCAATACCACACTACAACATTACGGAAACGATTGGAGATATTACTCCTGGAACATACCAAAAAGTGATGTAAAATGTAATCAATAGGGCTGAGGTTTGCGCGGCTGCCAGAGGCGGACACTTGTCTGATATTATTTTTCATACATAATTTCTAAGTTTCAATAGAAGATTAAGATGAAAAAAAATGGACGTATTTTATTTCATTTTACAAATATTCAAGATACAAACCAGTCAGTTATATATCAGCCACCCTGCATTACCATAATCGACCACTTGGCACTGAAAATCTAATACTATTATTGGGAATCATCATCACAGGCCAGGCTTCTTCCCTAGCTAGGATAACGCATAAAAGCAGAGCATAGTACCTACCTATTTGAGGTTAAATTTGAATTTTTACTTTGCTGCTTTGTATCATTGCTGCTCGCGCCGCCATTTTGGGAAAAAGCCAAAACATTTACCTCGCAAAAAAGTTAGTATACTTTATCTGAAGTCACTTGAAATAGCATAAAAACCTTTGGTCGGCGCGTCCTTTGTAATTTCATGACGTATCATAGGCGTGCTGTCATTTATTTAGAACGATAATAATAATGTTTTTATATCACAATAAATGGATTTTACTATCTTCTTATTTTTTTGATTTGGGATAAAAAATACTTATATTGGGAGTTTAATTTATGTTGACTGAAAGTTAAGAAATGGAAAAATTACAGAATTCCAACGTTTGACATAGGCAAATATTTACATAGCAGGTAGGTATATAAAAAGGTATATAAAGACTTACATTATAGGTATTTATATATCATCCTCGCCTTCGGAGCTGTCGCTAGAGTCATCTTGTAGAGGAATTACAACGGGATTTACAGGAGGCAAAACACAATATTCATTTTCTTTTTCAATAATATGCCTAGAACACTGCTTTCATAGGTCTGTGGCAGCAATATGAGATACTGCATCTCTTATTGTGGCCAATAGCGATTCACTTAATTGAGGGGTCTGATTATGTTTTCTTACTTTTTTTTTTAAAGCAGCCCAGACCAACTCAATCGGGTTAAAAATGCAGTAATAGGGAGGTAGACGTAATACTTCATGGCCATTTTGCGGAAGCAGATTGTCAACAACATACTCTTTTTCAAATTTTTGTCTTTTAATAAGATCCAATAATATGGCTTTGGTTGATTTTTGTGGTATTTCCATTCCCTTATCCTTCATAAAATCAATAATGTCTTGTTTTTTTGTGCCTGTATTCGGAATTTTGTTTTTCTGTCGGGTATGGTATGGCGCATTGTCCATAATAATCACTGAATTTGGGGAAATGTTTGGTATTAACTGCTGCTCTATTCACTTTTCAAATAAGTCGGAGGTCATGTCCTCATGATTCTTTGATATTTTTGGCAGATAACATTTTGGCATTAAGTATAAATCCATTTTCACTGCCAGCATGGAGAATAATGATTCGTTTTCCACGGTTGCATGGTGCATTTAAAATGCACTTGTTGCTGTCGTCAACCCAGCCGTACTGCACAACATCTTGGGTATCATACCACGTTTCATCCAGGTAAATCAGATTTCTTTTCTGCTCTCTATAGATTTTAACTTTGTGCAAAAATTCTTGGCGCAATTCAACGATTCGAGACGACTCCATAATCACCATTCTTTTATCTAATTTTTTGTATTGAAAACCACACAGTTTTACAATACAGTGCAGTGAGTCTAAGCATTTGTAATTATAAATATCTTCAGGATAATCTTTTAATTTATCCCGTATCATTTCCAACGTGGGCACCAAATTTTCTTTATAAAATCCGTATATTATAAGACGAATATCTTCCTGAAAACCCACGTCTATTCTTTTTAATTTTTGCCCTATGCGCTTTCTGTGGAAGGAATGGTTGACTACATCTCCCCTTTTTATAACCCGATAAATGGTAGACCGACTGATTTTTGTCAGGATACAAATTCTGTTTAAAATTTGATTTTGCGAGGAATCTGGATTTTCGTTTTTCAAACAATCATACATATTTAGGATTACTCTTTGGGTCTGTTCCTCTAAATCTTTATGAAAGAATTCTGCCTGCACAGGTTCATCAACCATCTCCTCGTGGCTTGGAGCATTTTCCCAAGGTCTCCAAAGAGCCATATTTAGGACACACAAGAACAATCAACACAACAATTAAATCAACAAGTAAACTGAGTATTCAAAAGTCAAAAACACACAAACTAATAAAATCTATGAAAAAACACGGACAGACTAAAGAAAACACGTTTATTCACCGCTACACGGCACTGGCTAAACTGTTTCAATTTTCAGTAGCTACCTGCACTTGTTCGGAGCTCTGAAATACACGCTTTCTCATTGGCTATGTCCACGCATAGGCGTGCTTTACTCCACGTGGACCGGTGAAACTGCCTTTGATCTTATACGGGGGATATTTGTTGCGAAATTTGGCGATTTTTGCAGCAACAGAGCGTGTTAAATATAGATATATAAAACGCACCCGGTATATCACAGTGTTTCAAGTGACTTCAGATAAAGTATACATAGATTATGGGGAAAATTCTTCAGAAACGAACCAACAAACGATATCCTGAATCGTAACAAACTAGAAAAGATCACAAAATACACAAGGTGTTTTAATTTTTACTTTCATCATTGAGATCTCGGTAAGAGATACGAAGTCTGTTAAATAAAGGCAAGGTTAGGCATTCAGGTAACTAAAAAAAGGCACTTGGAAAGTTTCGCAAAAACGAGAATATGCGGAGAAGAAAAAACAGAATTCTCCTAAAATCGTTTTTACTTGCCAATTTTTCCCTTCTACAAGATAGCTGATTTGGAATTTCAATATGACGTCTCGTCTCTTGCCCTTAATCATTAACTTATTTTTTTCTTATAGACGCCATATTGGATTTTTGCAAACGTTAATCTACTTTTCATTTTGAAGTTCCATCTCAGATAAAGTCAAGAAAAAATAAAAACGATTTTGTAAAAATTCGGAAATACTCGAAATTCTGAAGTGTAGCATTTTTTTTGTTAACTCCATTTAATCGACTTCGTATCTCTTACCGTTTTTACCGTTTGGGAGATCCCAATGTTCGAACTCGAAATTGATACACCCTGTATAAGAACGTTAATTTTTCAACGTCCAAAGTACTAAATTATTATTTGTTTTATTTCAAAAATCTAATTTTGGCCAGCTAAATATATATACTAAGTGACATATAAATCCGAACACCCAGTTTAAATGGTTTTATTTTAATAAAATTTTGTATAAGTACTTAATGAAGCATAATAAGTAAATGATAAAAATTTCAAAATGATTGCACTGCTTGAAGCCCTTTGACCTTTAATAATGTGTGGATGCACCCTGATGTGCTACGCATTCTCCTACACGCCTAGGCATGCTTCTGATCAGGTGGTCAATGTCCTCCTGTGGTATCTCATTCCAGGCAACCACCAACTCCTCTCGAAGTGCTTCTAGAGTCTGGGAAGGACGTTGCAAATTGAGCAATCTCCTACCCATCATATCCCACACGTGCTCAATTGGGGATAAGTCGGGAGATCTTGGTGGCCATGGTAACAATGTGACATCATTATGTTGAAAGAAGTCTATTGTGACTCTTGCAACATGTGGTCGGGCATTATCTTGTTGGAAAGTTGGATCTGCCAGGGAGTCAAGATAGGGTAAAAGATGGGGTTCTAGAACTTCGTGGATATAACGCTGCGCGTTCATGTTACCTCTGATGAACATTAAAGGTGACCTGGAACCATAAGCTATAGCACCCCAAACCATAACTCCAACAGTGTGATGAACATGTCTTTCAACAAAAAACTGTGGATTCCTCCTTTCACCACGTCGCCTTCTAACCCTGGCACGACCATCGTGCATGCCTAAACAAAATCGAGACTCGTCACTAAAGACAATTCTGTTCCATTCCTGATCCCAGAGTGACCGTTGTCTGCACCACTCAAGGCGATTACGTCGGTGTTCTCGAGTTAAAGGGAGGACCCAGTGTGGCCGGTATGAAAACAAGCCAAAACTTCTCATTCGTCGGTAAACGCTTCGCATGCCAATAAGTCTTACGTGTTCTGCAAACCATTCATTTGCAATGGACCTGGTAGTGGAGAAACGATCCCTTAAGGCCAATAATCTTAGGCGGCGATCTTCACGGTCTGTTCTACGGCGGCGTCCAGTGACCCTTGCTCTTTGCGTACGGCCTTCTCGAAGCCATGCCTGACAACACCTAACCACAGTGTCTACACTTCTTTGCACTCTAACTGCAATTGCCCGAAAAGAAAGTCCAGCTTCCCGAAGTCCCACTATACGGCCCCTATCAAACTCACTAAGTTGACGAAATCGTACAGGTCTCCGTACTCTAGGCATCGTAACCGATCGTAAAGGATGTCAAGAACCAAAATCCGCCAACGTTGATTCTTTACTGCGGCTGAAATATTCATTTTTAGAGCGTTAGTGAATTAAAAAAAAGCTGTATAAAAACCGGAATGTCCAACTGATAAGGCTGAAAATTTTTTCACTTGTTATTTACAGTAAGATAAATACATTCACCAACTTTTATTAAAATAAAACCATTTAAACTGGGTGTTCGGATTTATATGTCAGCAATATTGATTTCGCTACATCAAAGATTTCTATAATATCGTTCTTCATTATTTATCTTAAATTAATCTCGTGATAACAGATTTATAGGGATTTTTAGTCTTATGGATTGAGCGAGAAACAAATACGAGCAATATCAGAGACCCTAAAGGGCAATGCTTACATTGAACATTTGATACTGCAAGACAACTGGCTGACGCCTGAAATGACTGACATGTTGAGCAGCATGCTGCAAGAAAATGGAGCATTGCGGGTTTTGAATTTGAGAGAATGTCGGATTGGGGAATTAGGTAACAATATTTATTATAATTAAATAACTAAGATCCTACAGTTTTCAGATTAATATAGTCAGTGACACCCAAGAAAAATAATTTCTTCAACTTGATTTTTTGGCAATGAGGTAGCCTTACGTCAAGAATGCAACGTTAACATTTTCACGAAATGTTATTGACAAGTAATAAGAAAAAAATTAAGGTGTTGGGCAGCCCCGCAGCTGAGTACACTCCTGTATAACTCGGGCTAGCTCATCTGCCTTTTTATTCCCTTTGTGTCCTTCACATCCTGGTACCAAGGCAATGCTACTTTGTATCGGTTTCCCAGCTTTTTCAAGTGATCACGCAATCCCTTGCTATGGACTTAATGCCTTTATAGCTGCCAGGATACCTGATCAGTTGCGCAGTCTTGTATGGCCGTTTACTTCAGCCTGAAACCTAGGATCCTTAGCAATACACATAATTTATTCCATTGATGAAATAGCTTATAATTCACTCATATGTGGTTGTTGATTCAATATTAGGAACCTTTTTTTTTTAGGTGCTGAAAAATTGAACGAAGCACTTTCAAGCTCTCAGTTTTTGTCAGAACTAGATTTGAGTTTCAACAGCCTAGGTGACAAAGGACTGAAACTAATTCAAGTAGGTCTTTGCGAGACAACATCTTTGAAGAAGTTAAACATTAGTCATAATGAACTGACTGAAGAGTCGGGAGAGACTTTGGAAAAAATTCTCGTGGAAAACAAAACTATAACAGACATCGATCTTTCTTGGAATGGATTCTACACTCTACCGGGTTAGCACATGAAATATGAGCATATCTTTACTATTATGGATATGAAGCTAATCAAAGTACATTTAATATATACTAAGTGACATATAAATCCGAACACCCAGTTTAAATGGTTTTATTTTAATAAAAGTTGGTGAATGTATTTATCTTACTGTAAATAACAAGTGAAAAAATTTTCAGCCTTATCAGTTGGACATTCCGGTTTTTATACTGCTTTCTTTTAATTCACTAACGCTCTAAAAATGAATATTTCAGCCGCAGTAAAGAATCAACGTTGGCGGATTTTGGTTCTTGACATCCTTTACGATCGGTTACGATGCCTAGAGTACGGAGACCTGTACGATTTCGTCAACTTAGTGAGTTTGATAGGGGCCGTATAGTGGGACTTCGGGAAGCTGGACTTTCTTTTCCGGCAATTGCAGTTAGAGTGCAAAGAAGTGTAGACGCTGTATTTAGGTGTTGTCAGGCATGGCTTCGAGAAGGCCGTACGCAAAGAGCAAGGGGCACTGGACGCCGCCGTAGAACAACAGACCGTGAAGATCGCCGCCTAAGATAATTGACCTTAAGGGACCGTTTCTCCACTACCAGGTCCATTGCAAATAAATGGTTTGAAGAACACGGAAGACCTATTCGCATGCGAAGTGTTTACCGACGAATGAGAAGTTTTGTTTTCATACCGGCCACACTGGGTCCCCCTTTAACTCGAGAACACCGACGTAATCGCCTTGAGTGGTGCAGACAACGGTCACTCTGGGATCAGGAATGGAACAGTATTTTCTTTAGTGACGAATCTCGATTTTGTTTAGGAATGCACGATGGTCGTGCCAGGGTTAGAAGGCGACGTGGTGAAAGGAGGAATCCACAGTTTTTTGTTGAAAGACATGTTCATCACACTGTTGGAGTTATGGTTTGGGGTGCTATAGCTTATGGTTCCAGGTCACCTTTAATCTTCATCAGAGGTAACATCAACGCGCAGCGTTATATCCACGAAGTTCTAGAACCCCATCTTTTACCCTATCTTGACACCCTGGCAGATCCAACTTTCCAACAAGATAATGCCCGACCACATGTTGCAAGAGTTACAATAGACTTCTTTCAACATAATGATGTCACATTGTTACCATGGCCACCAAGATCTCCCGACTTATCCCCAATTGAGCACGTGTGGGATATGATGGGTAGGAGATTGCTCAATTTGCAACGTCCTCCTCAGACTCTAGAAGCACTTCGAGAGGAGTTGGTGGTTGCCTGGAATGAGATACCACAGGAGGACATTGACCACCTGATCAGAAGCATACCTAGGCGCGTTGGAGAATGCGTGGCACATCAGGGTGCATCCACACATTATTAAAGGTCAAAGGGCTTTAAAAAGCAGTGCAATCATTTTGAAATTTTTATCATTTACTTATTATGCTTCATTAAGTACTTATACAAAATTTTATTAAAATAAAACCATTTAAACTGGGCGTTCGGATTTATATGTCACTTAGTATAATTCGAGTTTTGTATCATGAGCGTCAAGAGTAGCTGATTTTTCCTTATGATCAAACCGATATTTGAAACATATCATTTCCATGAGACTTTTTATAGGCAACAAGAAATTGTTCAATGGTTTTAAAAATAATGACAGAATAAAGTGGTTGAGTTTAGCCTGGAATGGAATCAGTACAAAAGGTGCTATATCTCCTCTAACCAAATACTTGAGGACCGCTACAAGCTTAGAATATCTGGATTTAGATGCTAACAGGTATATTAAGCAATACACTGCCAGTGAACTTGAGGCATTTTTTGTTCCACCCTGTACTATTGTTTTCATAGTTTTCTTCTAGCTATTATATACAGGGTGTTCATTTTAAAACTTACACGTCAGACGATTTGTCAAGGGGGACAACTTTTTAACCAATAACTAATTCACCTCCTTTCACCGTCTGCCCCCAGGTCATCCCCCTTCAAATTTTAAATGACAAGGGGTATCGAGTGATAGCTTGTTTGAAGTCCTTTATTTTGACATTTGATTTTTTAAAATCGGTCGATTCGTCATCGAGAAAATTAGAAAAATCTTTATTTATCTCAACTTGTGCAGATAGAAAATAAAATCACACGACAATATCACTTTTTATTTTAATAAGTGTTCAAAATGTTGCCCGTTAGGGTTAGTCAAAACTACAATTCGTTTATAATTTAATACGGAAACTACCAACGTAAATAGCAGACTTGGCAACAACCAAATAACAACCCGAATTTTTTTCCGCATTTTTTCAATAAATTAATTCATCGATCATATCTGCTACTAGGCTTTCTCATGGTCCTTTGAAGATGTTAATGAATGCTGTCAATAAAAATCACTCTTTGGTTACCTTAAGAATAGGAAATAATCCATATCCTGCGGACGAAGGGCTGATATTGTTAAAAATGTTGGCATCTAAAGGTAGAGATCCACTAACGTTCATGGATATGGAGAATAAGTATCTGCCTAAAGAATCTGTACAGGTTAGTAGATAAAATACAGGGTGTAAACGTTATGTTAGTCATTATTGGAACGGGTAATAGGGGAGTCAAAACAAGTCAAAAAGTTCATATGACCCATGGTCCAAAAGTCAATAGATTTTTTTTTAAATGGCTTTATAGTTTACAACTGTAAGTGCTTTATATCGACTATAATCTTACGAATTTTTATAATCTAATCTAAAACGTTTCTAAATTGGGTAATTAACAAATAAATGGCATTAAGTTTTTCTAATTTAAGACAAAATTTGTAGTCAGTAAGTAAGTTTCATTAAATTAAATATTTAAAACACACATGACAACAGCGCGTCGGTCTTTCATCACTCTTATCGAATCGGCAATCGATCGCAAACGCTAACAGTGGTTTTGAATAGATAAATTACTTTATCGTTTTGTCGAGCAAAGCATCGGGCGTGTTGTTTTGTTTTTGTTCGCGTACGTCGTCGTGTTTATTTACAATGTTCTCGAATCAAGAGTTCGCCGACATGTTGTCAGTTTACGGTGAAGCTCGTCAGAATTCAAATCTCGCAGCTCAAATTTATCGCGACAGATTCCGCGAAAAAAAAATTTAATGCGGCTAAAATAATAAATGGACAACTTAGAGGACTTGGAGTAAGAAGAAACTGGGTTCGTCGTAATGAAACTTGTGTGGAAAGCGGAGGACGACATTTTGAACAACTTCTTTAAATACAAGAAAAGTGCAGTATGGGTTTTAAAAAGAAAATGTATGTATCAAAATTGTGTTCCCCATTTATAAGTGGATTTTTTTAATACGTTCAATAAACTTTCACACACCAGGTGATGCGCTGAGACAGTTAGTTTTTCTTTTAATTGTTGGCATTTTACGAGTACATTATCAAATAATGACATAATACCTAAGAGCCAAAAATAACAAACTCCATCTTTATTTACACTGCGTTCCGTCGTAATTTGCGCCTGGCATTGCGACGTTGTCAGATTTTATTTTACTTTAAAGTCGCTTTTCTCTAAAAAAATGCCGCTTTGACCTCCATGTTATATGAAACTTTTTGCTTATTTTAACCCCATCTATCACCCATTCAAATAATGACTATCATAACGTTTACACCCTGTATAATAAATACAGTGTGCGTACAATTTCAATCTTGGGGAGGATGTCGGGAACGAGGCTTGTTAAACTGAGACGAAGTTGGAAATTTACGTAACTAAAAGGTATTTCCTGAGATTAACGATAAAGCTATTCACAAAAATCTTTTTTCTGATCTGCCTTTGGTACGGTAAAATTGAATATTTACAGGATACACACGTTTACTAAATATGAGGAAGTTCAAGGATGATGTTTTATCCCAAGGCTGTTTTATCCCTTGGTCTTTTTCATAGAACCGCTTCGTGCCAAAAATACAAGGCAAGCAAAATTTCCAAAAATCAATATATCGTTCACCACTGACGCTCCGGTGAGCGTTATCGAGCCACGATAACGAATTTTTTGAGGCTAATTGCTTGTGAAAATGGCCTAGACGATTAGTGGTTCCAGCAGGACCACGTCACATGCCACACAGCTCAAGCGACAATCAATTTAATGCGAACATTGTTCTCTGGACGACTGATATCGAAAAATGGCGATTTTGACTGGTCACCGAGATTACCTGATTTGACGCCACCAGACTTTCATTTGTGGGGCTATTTGAAATCCAAGGTATACGCTAACAAGCCAAAGACTCTAGCTGCCCTCAAGAACAATATTCGTCAAGGAATTGCCGCCATATCCGCCGAAACATTGGCCAACGTGTTAAAAAACGCCGAGAAAAGGGCACATTTGGTTATCAATGCCAGAGGTGGCCATTTGCGCGATATCATTTTTGAAAAGTAATTACAACAAGACTTGTCAAATGAACAACAAAAAGTATTTATTAATGTATTTTTTTATAAACAAATGCTTCCACTTTAAATGGCCCACCATGTATATATCCATCATTCTCGTTTGCACCAATTAGATTGTTCCTCCATGATAATAAATATTTACGAGGGATGTCTTTTAAGTTTTGCATGTGGAAATAAAATAACACTGTAGGTAGTTTTAAATGACTTTATTGTTTTTCGAAGTACGAGTATTCTCCACGAAGATTAATACACATCTGCAAGCGCTCGAACCAATTTTCGAAGCACTTATTCCACTCGTTTGCTGGCAGATCCAAAACGGCATTTTTGAATGCGTCAACTGCTTCTTTCTGGTGACTGGAACCTTTGACCACGCACTCTGTTTTTAATTTTCGGGAAAGTAAAGAAATCATTAGGACTATATGGAGGATGGTCCAATAATTCCACCTTTTCTTCCGTTAAATACTGCCTTGTTTTTTGGGCTGTGTGCGAGCTTGCATTGTGTTAGTGGAGGATGATTCTTCTTTCGGGGTTGATTTTTCGAAGCTCGCTGATGACTTTTGGCAAACAAAAGGTGGTATACCGATCCGCAGTAACAGTTCTATGCTCATTAAGAGGAATTGTTGCAATATGACCCGCTTTTGACACAAATGTCGCGACCATCTTTTTCGAAACACTTCGAGAACGGATGACTTTTGTTGGCTTTTCTTCACTTTGGAACACCCAAACAGCTGTCGTTTATTTTCTGGTTCATAACAGTAAATCCACGATTCATCACCACCAGTGGCGTAGCTAGAGCCTCGGAAGCCCTGGGGCAGCTAGGAAATTTGGGGCCCCCCTATACGAAATTTGTTTATCAACTCTACCCTTAGAACTGCCTAAATAACATTTGAATTTCCCGCGCATATACGGATATCGAGCATTGTTCAATTTGAAGTATTTTCAGAGACCCCTAAAGTCTTCGCCGAGGTAAGATTCTTTCAGGCCCAAAAAAAGTCCCCTGACGAAAAAAGGCCCCCGTCGAAAAAAAGGCCCCCGACGAATAAAAGGCCCCCGACGAATAAAAGGCCGAAAAGGGGCCCCTTTTCATCGGGGGCCCTGGGGCACCGCCCTCCCTGCCCCAAGCTAGCTACGGCGCTGATCAGCACTAACAATGCTGTACACATTTTTTGAGTTTCCGGAATTGTAACGGTCTAGCGTTTTCGACACCAATTAACCCTGGCTGCTTTCTGCTCTTCAGTCAACAGGTGGGGTATCCAACGAGAAACTAATTTTCTTACTCCTAATTCTTCATGTAAAATTTCATGAAGTGAGGTCTTTGAGATCTTCAAGGACGCCTCAATCTCGCGATATGTTACGTGTCTATCTTCAATGATGAGTTTGCGCACAGTGCAACGCTTCCTTTCCGCAAAAAGTCCAGAAAAGATGGAATGCAATGAAGATTCCAACTTTTCTGCACAATCACAGAAAGGGGGTTACCATTAGCTTCCGGTAGCTCAGTCGGTGGCATGAAGACATCTACAGGCGTGTAGCTGTGTGTCGACCATGGCATGGCTAGAGGATAGAAGAACAAACAGAACACAAAAATTTAACAGATTTTATTTAACAAAAAAAAAAAAAGCATTTCCATTACATTACAATTTTACAGTTTTAAAGAACAAAATAAGTTTTACATCTTTGGCGCTGCTATCAAAACTGTCAACTTATCTTTTCTGGTCCATTTTGACTCGACTGAAGCCAGGATGGCCAGGTGCTTGAAGTGGAGGTCCCAGTTGTGAGGGGTCACCTCACATATAGTGGCTTCATAACCAGTTGTAGGCGAAGTTGAACTTAAAGGCGATGGCGCTGCCAAGGCACATGCATGGGTGAAGTGATAGGCCAAGCAACGCAAAGTCAAAGACTAAGCCAAAGGGAAAGGGAAAGAGAAAGAGAAAGGGAAAGAGAAAGGGGGTGGCCCCAATCATTTTGTCCTATACGGACACACATTCTACAAAATTCTAGCACATGGTGCTATATGACCTTGTGCTACAGAGAAGAAAATTTTTAGCTCTTGTTCGATCGGCGGCTCAAATAAAAAGGAAGCGCGAGGAACATCGCAGATCAGGAACTCCGCATCAAGCGCTCCAAGCGGAAAATTTTCCAAGTAAAAAAGCTAGAGATGGGATTAATGATTTGCGATTCTGAAATGATAATCGAGAAGTGATTTAATAAATACAATCGGACGGTGAAACCGTTACAACAGCATCGACGTTTTCCTGGGTGACTGCCGTTTTTGGTGCACCCACCCTGGGATCGTCGCTAAGACTCACCCGTCCACGTTTGAATTCTCCATCCAAGTTGTAATAAATTATGGCGCGAAAATGTTCTCGGTTGAGTTCTATTTTTCTAATGACTTGGTGACACTTAAAAATTCACTGTAGTGAGAACACTGCACGTATTGTTATGAAACTTTGAATTTAAGTTTACTAAAGAGTGAGGTTAAGATTCAGTACTGACGTTCGATCCGCGCGGCCTACTATGTTTCTATATGCAAAACTTAAAATACATCCCTTGTGCACTAAATTATTATGATCATTTAAACCATATTAACTAAATATCTAGGTACTTAATCAAAATAAGATTTACAGCAATACAATGATGATATTTCCACGACAATTTTATTTCTTCTATGTTTTTCCACAGGGAAAAATGTTTTCTTGAAGCCATACGTTTAGAAGAATGGGGGTAGCAAATTTTCTCAGAAACGAATTCGCAAAATAAATATGCAAAAATGTCTTTTTAGTGATGGGTTGAGACTTTTTAATGCATTACCTACAGAAATTAGAGAAGTGACGTCTGTAAATATACATTGTGGTCCATAAGTCCTTTGAAATTTCAAATTTGAATAAAATTTAACGGGTGAGCGTGAGCGGCGCGGGCGAGGTGGGGGCAGTATCTTCAGTGTCTGGGAATTCAGTCGCCATGGAGTGTTTCACTGGAGCGGATCGTGCTTTTTGTGTGCGCGCGTTTTATCAAAATAATGATTCGGCAACCATTGCGCGGCGTAAATATCGAGAATACCACAATTTACACAATTTTACAAAGTGTCCAACAGCTCAAACGATTAAGAACTGGGTTGCTAAGTTCGAAGAGACTGGTTCGACGTTAGATAAACAGCGGTAGGGTCGACCAAGGACAACTCGTATTGAAGAAAACATCAACATTGTGGCACAGTCTGTTCGTCAAAATCCTACCCAGTCTACTCGTAAGCGTTCCAGTGCACTAAACGTACCCAGAACATCTTTACAGCGGATTTTAAGGAAAGATTTACGTCTGCATGCTTACAAAATTCAGTTAGTGCAGGAATTAAAAGATAATGACGCTATTCAGAGACTAAACTTTGCGAATGAAATGTTGAATCGATTTTCTTCGCTCAATAATGTGTTGTTCTCGGACGAGGCTCACTTCCATTTAAACGGGCATGTAAATAAACAACATTGCCGTTATAGGAGCCCCGAAAATCCAAGGCGTAAGCATCAGAAGCCCTTACACAGCCCTAAAGTTACAGTTTGGGCTGCTATGTCAGCGCATGGCATCGTAGGCCCTTATTTTTTTGAGGACGACAGAGGTCGCGCATTAACTGTTACTTCGGAGCGGTGCGTAGCAATGATAGAAGAGTTTTTGACACCAGCGTTGCAGAATTTTCCAGGCTATAATACGCAGACCTGGTTTCAACAGGACGGAGCAACTGCCCACACCTCCAACACTTCTATGCCCGTCGTCTGTCAACTTTTTCCCAGCAAAGTAATTTCTCGAAGAGGAGACATTTCCTGACCACCACGTAGTCCAGATTTGACCCCAATGGACTTCTTTTTATGGGGCTACCTCAAGAGTAAAGTGTACGACACCACTCCGCGATCAGTTGATGTCCTGAAGGAAAATATCCGAAGAGAAATGGCAAGCATTACAGTGTTGACTTGCCGCGCAGTCATCGACAATTTTAGACGTCGTTTATATAAGTGCCGTGATCGTAATGGATTGTATTTAGACGATGTGATTTTTAAAACATAATTCCCATTCAATAAAGATGATAACAAAATATAATAATTCTTCATAATGTAACTAGTTTGGTTTTATTCCTTTTTTTCCAGCTCAAAGGACTTATGGGCCACCCTGTACTAAGTGACATATAAATCCGAACACCCAGTTTAAATGGTTTTATTTTAATAAAATTTTGTATAAGTACTTAATGAAGTATAATAAGTAAATGATAAAAATTTCAAAATGATTGCACTGCTTTAAAGCCCTTTGACCTTTAATAATGTGTGGATGCACCCTGATGTGCTACGCATTCTCCAACGCGCCTAGGCATGCTTCTGATCAGGTGGTCAATGTCCTCCTGTGGTATCTCATTCCAGGCAACCACCAACTCCTCTCGAAGTGCTTCTAGAGTCTGAGGAGGACGTTGCAAATTGAGCAATCTCCTACCCATCATATCCCACACGTGCTCAATTGGGGATAAGTCGGGAGATCTTGGTGGCCATGGTAACAATGTGACATCATTATGTTGAAAGAAGTCTATTGTGACTCTTGCAACATGTGGTCGGGCATTATCTTGTTGGAAAGTTGGATCTGCCAGGGTGTCAAGATAGGGTAAAAGATGGGGTTCTAGAACTCCGTGGATATAACGCTGAGCGTTCATGTTACCTCTGATGAAGATTAAAGGTGACCTGGAACCATAAGCTATAGCACCCCAAACCATAACTCCAACAGTGTGATGAACATGTCTTTCAACAAAAAACTGTGGATTCCTCCTTTCACCACGTCGCCTTCTAACCCTGGCACGACCATCGTGCATGCCTAAACAAAATCGAGACTCGTCACTAAAGACAATACTTTTCCATTCCTGATCCCAGAGTGACCGTTGTCTGCACCACTCAAGGCGATTACGTCGGTGTTCTCGAGTTAAAGGGAGGACCCAGTGTGGCCGGTATGAAAACAAGCCAAAACTTCTCATTCGTCGGTAAACACTTCGCATGCCAATAGGTCTTCCGTGTTCTGCAAACCATTCATTTGCAATGGACCTGGTAGTGGAGAAACGGTCCCTTAAGGCCAATAATCTTAGGCGGCGATCTTCACGGTCTGTTATTCTACGGCGGCGTCCAGTGTCCCCTTGCTCATTGCGTACGGCCTTCTCGAAGCCATGCCTGACAACACCTAACCACAGTGTCTACACTTCTTGGCACTCTAACTGAAGTTGCCCGAAAAGAAAGTCCAGCTTCCCGAAGTCCCACTATACGGCCCCTATCAAACTCACTAAGTTGACGAAATCGTACAGGTCTCCGTACTCTAGGCATCGTAACCGATCGTAAAGGATGTCAAGAACCAAAATCCGCCAACGTTGATTCTTTACTGCGGCTGAAATATTCATTTTTAGAGCGTTAGTGAATTAAAAAAAAGCACTATAAAAACCGGAATGTCCAACTGATAAGGCTGAAAATTTTTTCACTTGTTATTTACAGTAAGATAAATACATTCACCAACTTTTAGTAAAATAAAACCATTTAAACTGGGTGTTCGGATTTATATGTCACTTAGTATATATTTATTCGCAAGGTTAAACAATTGTATCTAGATAAAATGGCATAATATATGTACTTTCTGTGTTAAGACAACTATATGTCATTATCTCGCATTTGCTATTGTTGCATTTACCGTGGTTGCAGTTACTATGATTTTAAGGGAATCTAGAATTACTGTTTTTTTGTTTATTACTGGAGTAAGACACTATTATAAACTATAGGAAGTAGCTTTAGGGCTAAGAATAATAAAAATTTCATTTCATTTCATTTCCTAAATTGTACACAATATCATGCTAAATATGCAAATTTAAACGTCTAATCGTATTCTCAGGCGGGTTCACGCCGCCCTGCCCCCTCCTTGCGGGCGCCATTGGTCCAAGAAACACACCTGTATTGAATTTTTGTCCAGTGTTTCTATAAGAATGTAAGTTTTAGACATTTTTCCTGGTAGATACTGAAAAGGATCGAGGACATGGGAAAGTTTGTGAAAATTGGTGGAATCCTAGGAAACTACGTCATCAAAGGACCCGATTACACTAAGCTGTTATTCGATAGAATTAGGTTCATATTACAGAAACCAAAGAAAAAGAAGGCCAAGAAAGATTTCGCGTAAGTATTTCTTCGCGGAACTTGCGGTATGAACCCAAATAATAATGATTAATAATTGTAATAATAATAACTGCTAAAGTAAATGACCTATTAAATGACGTACTACAGGCAATAGTGAGCCTAAAATCTGATGCGAATGGAATTGATGGTATATCCCTGTCAATGATCCAGCTTTGCCTGCCAGTTATTCTCCATCACATCGTCCACATCTTTGGAAAAACGCGACTTTCCAAACACATGGAAACAAGCTCTAATTAACCAATTCCTAAAAAAATGAAACCCACTGAGTATGATGATCTCAGACCTATCAGTTTATTACCGATTTTATCCAAAATTTTAGAAAAAATTATAAAGTTCCAATTGACCGCTTACCTAGAAAAAATCTTTATACTTCCCGACACTCAATCCGGTTTTAGAAAAAATTATAGTACAACATCTGCCCTACTTAATCTGCAAGACAATATTTTAAGTGCCTTAGATAAGGAAATGGCACTAGCCTTAATCTCTATAGACTATTCGCAAGCCTTTGACAGCATCAATCATAAATTGTTACTTGCTAAATTAAATTACATAGGTCTTGACAGTGTATTCCTTTCATTTTTCGACAGTTACCTTCATCAAAGAACTCAGTGTGTTTTTCTCAATCAAGAAATGTCTCAAGTGACAATAATTCCCTCAGGCGTACCTCAGGGCTCTGTATTGGGGCCGCTTCTGTTCCTCATATATATGTTCGACTTAAGCAAAAGTATTGATAATTCTCATGTCCAGTCATTTGCAGACGATACGCAATTGCTCCATTATTTTAACCCAGATAATGTCAATAATACTACTCAAATTTCACAAAACGATGTTAATAAATTAATTAAATACTCTTTAGATCACAATCTACTTATTAATCCACAAAAATCTAAAATGTTATTATTTTGCGCACAAAGAAAAACACACAATGTAACACAGCTCTTGAACATTCAGATAAATAACCAAATTTTGCAAATTTCTGATTCTGCAAAAATTCTTGGTGTTGTTTTTGATACAAAATTGAGGTTTATTGAACATGTTAAAAGTCTGTCTCAGAAAACCTACCTACGGCTGCGCACTCTTATAGCAAAAGGTATTTACTAAATTTTAAGTTGCGTAAAAAACTATGTGAAGCATTGGTCATATCTATACTAAATTATTGTAATATCGTATACTATACTTGTTTAGACAATTTCACTAAAAACGTTATTCAAGTTATTCAAAACAATTGTATACGATTCATTTTTGGCTTACGTAAATTTGATCATGTATCAGCGAAATATCCCGTTCTAAACTGGTTAAAAATTAATGACATGGTCAAGTATCACTATTCAGTTTTTGTTCACAAATTGCTGCTCACGTCTAAACCTTATTACATGAAGGAAAAAATTTCATTTAATAATGATGTTCACTGTAGAACTCTCAGAGAAAATAATATTAGAATACCCCTGCATACGTCTACACGTTTTAAACGCAGTTTTTCTTACAATGCTGCTATTATTTATAATGACCTTCCTAAAGTATATAAAGAATTTTAATTACCTGTCTTTCGACAAAAAGTTAAAACATTATTACTCAACCCTCCAAACATATAATTTACGTAATCATTAATTTCTTTTTTATTCCAGCTTTAATTCAGATTAATAATTTTTTGGTGCATTTGGGTTTGGAAAGTATGCCTTTTTCTCTTTTTTTAAATTTTACTTTCGATGTAATGAACCAAATCTGTTTGTGGATAGTGTATTCTTTTGAACATCTGCTAGAGACTATATGGTTAAGTGTAAGAGTAGCAGCATGCTGAACTTCGCCATATAAGTCTGACATTTGGCTACTACAATGTAATTGTGGATAAATAAAGACGTCTATTATTATTATTAGGGCTTCATAGAGACAAGCCTATGCATGGAATCTTCTACAGGCACATATATAAGTTTAATGAATAAAATTATTATTATTATGTTTGAATAGGCATTTTGTCTTGGCGTTACCTGAAACACCGATTACAAAGGCAGATTTCGAGACTCAACTGAAAAAGAAAAAGTTAAAGAAAATTATGAAAGATAAAGACCTGGTGAATGAACTAACAAACCAGTTTATTGTAAAGAAATCAAAGATAGATAGCCTGGAAATGATGAGGGTTTATAAAGAGTATTATCCAGATGCATCACTGCCCCCGCCTAAGCCAAAGAAAGGCAAAAAAGGTAGAAAAGGAAAGAAGGACAAGAAAGGAGCTGCGGAACCTGACGAACAGCCAGCCGAGCAGAAGCTCGAAGGTACGTTCAATCTTGGAAGGTTGTGGGTCACGTTTTTGTACGTCGTTTTATTCAAAAATTTTGGCAATTTTTTGGTCCAATTTTTTGAACCTTACATCCATGATAGCGAAGCGCCCGATATCAGATCTTGTACCTACATTCAGTTAAAGTACACCTAAGTATAAACTGCTGTCTTGATTCGGGTCTAAAGGCGGTCGTCGGTTGGAATTTCGTCCTAACGTTTCGCTAGCACGAGTGGCAAGCTTCTTCAGAGACCCTTCCATTTCCGATGCTGGATGTAGAAGCTTGCCACTCGTGCTAGCGAAACGTTAGGAAGAAATTTCAACCGACGACGACCTTTAGACCCGAATCAAGACAGCAGTGTATCAACTGTTCGCGAAAGCCTTAACCAATTTGTCCTACCTAGGTATATCATGAACCCATAACTTTTAAAGAGACTCGTTTTTGGCACAACATGTTTTTCTACTTAAGTGTATACAGTCACCTCGTGGATGTTCCTGACATGCAAATACAGCAGACGCTCGATAACGTAAACACGGGATAATGAAAACTTGCGCCAATGTAAACACAAATTTCGTTCTATAGGATCAAACGGAACGCGCGATAACGTAAACAATGTGTACGCTCGATAACGTAAACAACTCTCGGCGCACGGAAACAGCGCGACGGTAAAATGCTGAAGCCTCGATGATTTATGTCGGGCGTCGGGAAGTCCCCGATTTATGATGTAGAGTGTAGGGGATTCACCTCTGCGATAAAATACGACAAACTCGGTCAGTCGTATGATCGTTTAGGATACGTTTATACGTACGTATGTATTTCATTTTTGAACTTAAGTGAATACATTGCACGCGATAATATATTTTACGACTATGACATCGACATCCTATAAAGGAAAGTGTTTAAAGTTGAGTGAGAAAGTGAAAATCATAGACGAAGTTGCACTAGGTGCGGGAGTGACTCAGTTAGCAAAAAAATATGGAGTATCAAAAGCAACAATCTGTAAAATTAAGCGAATGAAAACTCAAATTTTACAAAGAACGTGCAATACTTTTGGAGGTCCGGGAAAAAGAAAAACTATAAAAAATGCGAAGGCACCTAAAATGGAAAATTCCCTGTATAAGTGGTTTTTAAAACAACGGGAAAATCATGTCCCAGTTAGTGGCGAAGTACTTAAACAGAGAGCGAGACTGTTAAATGAAAAACTGAAAGAAACTGAAAATTTCGTAGCTAGTGATGGCTGGCTACAACGATTCAAAACAAGATATGGAATTCGACTGCTGTCTATATCTGGTGAAAAATTATCAGCACAACCACAATTAGTGCAACCATTCAAAGAAAAATTGATGAAAACAATTACCGAGCCAGATTTAACAATGGAACAAATTACCCCTATTGCCCCAAGCTCGCAAGCTGAGACAATGGAGTTATTTAGACGTTTCCACAATATCATTCTGATGGGCATAGCTGAAGGGAACGATGACATAAACATAGTATCAGAGATAATTAGGCATATTGAACCATCTGCCGAAAATCACCGACTCAGCATCACTCGCCTTGGCAGAACAACTTCAAGCAATCGTTTAATTAGAGTTGTGTTTTCCTCACCTATTATCATCAGCAATATTTTGCGGAAGAAAAACTCCATCCTTAACCACCCCACGCTTCGTCACGTCAAAATCTCTGACGACAAAACCAGAGGTCAAATGCAAGAACTACAACACCTTCGCGAAGAGCTTAGGCGTCGTCAAACAACAGGCGAAAGTATTATTACTATAAAATACGTTCGTGGTAAACCTTCTATAGTACACACAGCTACCCAGGAGATCACACCTTCAAAAAACTGATAAATTCTGTGGCAAAACTGGACGGTTTGTTACACTAATATACAATCTCTCTTTTCTAATCTACTTGAACTCCAAGCATTTGATCGAGACAATAATCCAACGTTCGTTTGCCTTACTGAAACATGGCTCCATTCCAACGTGTCCGACTCTTCCATCAATTTGCCTGGATACTATTTATACAGAATGGATTCACCACGCACTCCTGGTTTTGGAGGAGTATGCATTTATGTTCGCGCGGAAATCGCGTCGGCTTTCTCGGTATCTCCCTCTTTCAGTCCTTTCGATGGCATTGACAATCTATTTTTGGAATTGAGGTGCCCAAATTTCAGCTTCACGATAGGCTGCATATATCGGCCACGGCCCTGTTTGGGAGACACACACCTGTGCAGTCTCATTTCAGATCTCTTAAATAAAAACACCAACCTGTTCATAGCTGGTGACTTCAATCTACGTGACATTAGCTGGCCTATGTCAACCATTCCTGAATGCAATTCTTCTTCTGCTGCTTACATCGACTTGCTACGCAACTCTAGCATATCTCAACTTGTTGATCGTCCAACGAGATTCAGGGAAGGACAGACGCCTAGGGCTCTGGATTTGATATTCGTTAACGACGCCGACTTTGTTTCTAATTTAGATTATTTGCCACCTTGTGGCAAGTCTGACCACTGTTCACTTTTATCTTCTCTCCAGTTCAATATAAATAGTCGTTCTACAACCGATAAGTTTAAAACAATCAAAATTGTAAACCACGATGCTCTTAACCAAGCCCTGTCTGAAGTCAACTGGCCTGCTTTGCTTAACAACCGTAGCACCCAAGATATGTGGGACACTTTCGCTCAACGAGTCCTAAGCGAAACGGCTGACAATACTGTTGGAAAGAAGGTATACTGTGTGACCCCTCAAAGCCGTGGATCAACTCTAACATATCGAGGATGCTTCGTCACAAGAGATCTTTGTGGCAACGGTTTAGGAGGAGTGGCCATTCACAAGATTACGTGTCTCATCGATCCTTTTCTAACCTCCTATCTAGAACGTTACATAATGCCAAACATGCTTATGAACGTAAACTCGTTACCTCCAAAAATAAGAAGAAGCTGTTTCGGTATCTAAGAACAAACCTGAATTCCAAAGTTTCATCACCTCAGATCCGCGACGCTGACGGTCATCTCCACATGGATGCCACCGAATCTGCCAACTTACTGGCAGAGTCCTTTAGTGATGACTTCGTCGATGAGCCTAATGGAGACCTTCTACCGACCACTATCTGCCATAGGTGTCCCAACAGCCTTTGCGAAGTTGAGTTCCTGCCTGAAGATGTATTAATGCACCTGCGAAATCTGAAGACCTCTTCCTCCCCTGGTAAAGATGGGATGACGGCTGCTGTACTTAAAAACTGCGCTTCAGCACTGGCCCTACCATTAAGCTTGATATTCACATCGTCTTTTAGATCTCATACCCTACCCTCATGCTGGCTTAGTGCTTCTGTTACCCCTGTATTCAAAAAGGGCGACAAATCCTCCGCTAAAAATTATCGACCAATAAGTCTCGTTCCTATCGCCGCCAAAATAGCTGAAAGAATTATATTAGATAAGCTCCTGTCATTTGCTTTCGAAAATGACCTTATCCCTAAGAATCAGCATGGATTTCTCCCTGGTCGATCAATAATGACCAACCTTCTCCACTCTCTCAACGATTGGACTCAGTATCTGGACACAAAGACTCCTGTTGATATAATCTACTTAGATTTTTCTAGGTCTTTCGATCGCGTACCACATAGAAGGCTTCTGTTTAAGTTGGAATGTATGGGAATAAGAGGCGAGTTGTTACTGTGGATTAAGGCTTTTCTCTGTGCGCGTCAGTGATAGCCAGTCTCACCTTCAGCATGTAGCAAGTGGAGTTCCACAAGGCTCTGTCTTGGGGCCAGTGCTGTTCCTTCTGTATACAAGTGACCTGCCCGCATTGATTTCCTCCACATGTTCAGCTTATGCCGACGACACCAAGATTTACAATACTGTCGTAAATTCTGCTATGCTTCAACGAGATCTTGATATTGTTTGTCAATGGTCAGTCAGTTGGCTTTTACCCTTAAATCTAACTAAGTGTTGTGTCCTTCACCCCGGGAAGACAAATCCGCGATTTACATACAAGATCTTTGACCACAACATCGAAGCAGTTTCCAGCCACACTGATCTGGGCGTTGTAGTCAACGATCGTCTTTCCTGGTCAGAGCATATTCACCACGTTACATCAAAAGCCAAGAAACTTCTATACATGCTGGAGAGGTCTTTCAAAGGATCCGATGTCAACACTTGCGCCTACATTTACAAGGCATTCGTGAGGCCAATTCTTGAATTCGCTAGCCCGGTATGGGACACTGTGCTTCTGCGCGATAGAAATCTCGTCGAATCAGTACAGCGTCGGGCTACTCGTATCCCTTTTGGAGCACGAAGACCAAGCTATGAAGATCGCCTTGAATTATTTAACCTGACCTCATTCTCTGAGCGAAGACTTCGTGGCGATCTTATTGTTACGTTCAGGATACTTCATGGTTTGATGGGCACCAACCTCATGCATCTATACCGTCTGTCGCGCAGCAATCTACGCGGACACAGCTTCAAACTGCATAAGGAGCCATTTAAAACAACAGTCCGACAGTGGTTTCTTCCCAACCGCATATTCAACACCTGGAATAGTTTACCTGAAAGTGTGGTTGGTGCTACTTCAGTTAATAGCTTCAAAGTGCATTATGATAGCTGGAGGAGTGTACAAACTTTATAACTATGAACTGTCTTTTTTTATTTTTTTCTATTATGTATTTGTGTTACGTGTCCGTACACTATATTTACTGCATGAGCTTATGGTACTGTGTACTCTGCTCATCTCAATTGTCATAATAATAATAATAATAATAATAATAATAAAATTTACAACGCAGATGAAAGTGGCCTTTATTGGAAAATGTTACCAGAGAAAACCTATGCTGCATCATTTGAAAAATCTGCCCCGGGAAGAAAGCCGGAGAAACAACGAATAACGTTTCTAGCCTCCACTAATGCTAATGATTCACACAAAATAAAGCCACTGGTAATTGGGAAAGCAAAAAATCCGCGCTCATTTAAAAATGTTAATATCCCTGTTGATTATGACTGTTCAAAAACCGCTTGGCTGACTAGCAGTATATTCCTTAAATGGTTCCACAGGTACTTTGTCCCTCAGGTATGACAATCAATTATCACAAATGCTCTATTCATAATTTGAAGATGTGTTTTCAATTTGTAGGTAAAAGGTTTCCTAAAACAACAGAAGCTTCCAATAAAAGCGTTGTTACTATTGGCTAATGCACCAAGTCATCCTCCCGAGCAACAACTGAGGAGCAGGGATGGGTCAATTTTCGTCATGTACATACCGCCCAACGTAACACCGTTAATTCAACCGATGGACCAGAATATAATAAGACTCACCAAACTATACTATAGGAAGTTGCTACTTTCGTCTGGCTTATCAAAGAATCCTGAAAACTTATCTGAGGCTTTAAAAAAGTAACATTACGAGAAGCTGTTTTAGATTTACATATGGCCTGGAATGAACTTAACCAGCAAACTATTCAAAAATGTTGGAACAATCTCTTTTGTACCAATAATGAAGATGATGAAGAAGACGATGTCCCCTTAAGCGTAATTAAAGAACGTTTACGATCCAATAATGATAATGTTATTAGTGTGTCATTGGATGTTGTTGATTTATTGAAAACAGTGAATCCCAACATTGTTTGTACTCCTGCTGATATTAATTTATGGAACGAAGATAAGCAGACGAATGATGCTGATAAGGAGGAGGATATGGACAGTGAGGATGATGAGAACGATCCCATTGAAGTCAGAAGTGTAGTGACTGACGCGCAAGCTATACAAGTTTTTAACCAAGCTTTAGATTGGGCTGAAAGAAAAGAAGTTTCATACACGGATATTTTAGTTCTTCGTAAATTACGGGCGCAGGCATTGAAAGACAATGCTAAGCGCAAATTTACGCAGACAAAAATTGTTAATTATTTTTCTTCTAATTAAAAAAATACTTATCGCTGTTAGAATATTTGTTTATTTTGTTATAAATAGTATGTATTAAACGTTTCTTTTAATAAATCAAATATTATATAAATCACGTTCGCTAATGTAAACATTTCGATAATGTGAACCACACTTGGATTAAATTAGTTTACATTATCGAGCGTCTGCTGTATTTACTTAGGTTTTAATCCTCATCTCCTTCGTTGATGTATACAAACCATATGTCTACTTAGCACCAATAAGTTATTATCGTTAAAGGTGAAGAAGTCACGGTTCGAGAAAGCGAATATCAAACTCCTCAGCTAGAAGATGGTGAAGCTCCTCCTCCGAGACAAATACAGCGTGCCTCAAATCATGGTGAACGTCACTTGGCGTTCCAGATGGAAGAGATAAAAACTATAGAAATTCCAGCAGAAGATGAGATGCCGCCAGATGATCAGGAAGTTCGACTCAACATGCCGACTGAAATAATTGAGAAGCCGATGTTTCCCGAAGGTATGACTTTGTGTTTCATTAAGGAAGAATGTATCCCTTGTACTTGACGACTCAACTGGTCCTATGTGATGCAGCTCCGATTAATGAGAGACAACGATATTAGGAAATAGAAACACCTTTTGGTGGCTCAGCCTGTTTCTATCACGATACAAATACACCTTGGCTACCATTACTTCTTTTAGTTAAATGCTGAGTGATTTGCCGTCCCTTATACGAGGACTGTAAATTAAGTGATAATGCTGGCAACTTAGTGTTCGAACTGGCAACACTGGTAGCGCCGGGCTTGGAGGGGAGGCAGGGGAACATCTGATCTGCCTTCAGTACAAGTTTGCATTCGCTCGAGCCTTATCCTTAATTTATAGACCTCGTATGCCTGGCATACTTGTCAGCAGTGAACGTTTCGCTGGGAGTTCATTCCAGTTTCTATTACAGGTTTTGACTTAACTGGTTGGCTTTTTCCCAGCAATTATTTAACTACTATATGGTTTGATCTGTAACTTAAAATTTGTTTTAGGTGATGAGAACGTCGCAGAACAATGAGCTTATATAGTCAAGAAAATCATACTTAGGTGTAACTACTGATCCAAGCCTGCGGTTCTATGTCCACACTCAAGCTCTAGTAAATAAAACATTCATCTCTTTGAGAATAATTTACAGGAGTCGACATTTTCTAAGTATATATATATATATATATATTTTGTACAACACTATCATTCTTCCTCATTTATTATTTGTTTCACTGCACTGTGTTTTCAAAATTACAAAATAAAGCCAAGAGAATCATCTTAAATAAAAATAAATATACCAGAATAAATTTTATCCTGAAAGAACTACGATCGTTAAATATCAAGAATAGCATAACTTACTTGGTTTGCATTTTCATATTCAAGTTAGAAAAAAATCATCTACCATAACAATGTGGTTATTCTACTAGAGGGAGAATAGGCCTTCATTTACAAAATTGTAGTAGCAATATAACGAAAAAAACAGTATTTCAAAAAGGATTGTACGGATTTGATAAATTAAATAATGATATCAAGATGTGTGCCAGATTGAAAATGTTCAAAGGGAAATTAAAAAAATATTTCACGGAAAACTAAAACTCATTTTTTGCAAAAATATGTAGACTTGATACTGTGTAACATTGATGCTAAATAAATCTAAAACAAATAAACAAACTTTTAAGGATTGCAAATGAGATTCAAGCATTTCTAAGAAGATTCAAATAAATTATGTCATGAAGTTGTTTCGTTCCAATAACGATCAGTGGGTTAGCATCTTGGTGTAAGGATGTTTGTGGAATAAAATACAACTGGAGTGTATATAAACACTTTTATTTTACCACCATTACATATATTTACATCACGAAAGTGAACATGCATATAAAAAGAAAGGGTGTTGATTGAGACTTTGGGCTTACTGTCATCTCGTTTTAAATCCATATTCACTGTCCTATGCAGTACTGTTATCATCCTTAAATTCTCTATCCTGAAAATAAAAAGGAATCTTTTTTATTATACTGTATAGACACGTCGACTGCCACGGCAATTTTCAGAAATTGGCCTAAAATAAAATATTTTATTTCTTCACTTTATAATCATATTTTTTGTTCGTTTTCTTCCATACCGTTCAATACGTATCTCCTCCTACGCTCTACAAAGCCGAAGCTCCAGAGATAATTTCAATCAACTCTCTGGTGATCACGGCCTGTCTGGTACGGTTGAAAGTCAAGGTCAGCTTGTCGATCATCTCTCCGGCATTCTTGCTGGCATTGTCCATGGCAGTCATCCTGGAGGACTGTTCACTACAAGCGCCCTCTTTCATCGCGTAGAACAGCAACGAGGCTAGAGAGAACTCCAGGTAGCTCTGGATCACCTCATCGTCCAAGGAGTCATAGACGGACAGCTTTGGGGCCGCCTGAAATAAATAATTATGAAAATATATTTTAATGGATTATAAACTGAACATGAGAAGAATTGAAGTTATCATGTTAGGAACAACAAGAAAGGAAATCTATGAAACATAGAACCGGCAGAGAGAAAAAACGTGTCACTGTCACAAAAGTATATAGACAAATATGAATAGTTACCTTTAGAAAACGAATTCATACTTCATTGCTCCATAAACAAATGCGTTATTAGTAGAAAAACTAAATTCCTTGTTTTTACATTATCTACAATGAACACAATACAAGTACAGTTTCGTGTCAGAAGAGCATTAATTTATGTTCATCAAGTATTATGGAATAAGTCGAGTGATTTTAAGACCATGCCGCGTGGTCCAGAAATTTCTTTTAGTGTAAAAACTAAGATCATTGAGTTATATAAAGATGGTCAACGTCGACATTGCCAAAAATTTGAAGCTGAAGCGTAAAGCAGTTTGGGCAATATTGAACAAATATAAACAAAAAGTTATCTTGGAAGCCTCTCAGAGAAGTGGTCGGCCTAGAAAACTAAATGCTAGATCAGTTATATTAATAAAAGTAATTTCGTCCAAAGATCCGTTTAAAACCCCAAGACAAATAAAGGCCGAAATCAAGACAAAAGGAATTGTCAGTGTTTCTACGAAAACTATAAGTAGAAGATTAAATGATTTGAAGTTATTTGCACGTCGCCGGAGTAAGAAGCCGCTAATCTCGAGGAAAAACCGTAAGGACCGATTACAATTTGCACGGTTGTATCTTGACTGGAGCATCTGTGACTGGAAGAGGGTATGTTTCAGTGACGAATCCAAGTTAAATATGTTTGGATCAGATGGTGTTCATTACGTTAGACGTCCTAGTGGACAAAGATTGAACCCCAAGTACACTTTGCCCACTGTCAAACATGAAGGCAGGTCTGTTATGGGACCTTTACATAGAATAGATGGCATTATGGATAAGTTTATATACACAGACATACCAAAGCATGCCATGTTACCTTATATGGAAGACAATATGCCCTTAAGATCAATCTTCCAGCAAGATAATGACCCAAAGCACACTTCAAATCTCGCAAAGAAATTCTTTCTGGATGAAAAAATACCAGTTCTCAGATGGCCTTCACAGTCTCCCGATATAAACCCCATTGAAAATCTGTGGGAATACTTAGATAAGCAAATACGAGATAAAAATGATTCAAACAAGGATGAACTTTTTGCCGCTTTAGAGCAAAAGTGGAGGCAGATTGATGAATCAAGAAACTTCTACAATCTATGCGGAGAAGGATGCCAGGCGGTGATTGGTGATAATGGTTATGCTACAAAATATTAACACAAACATGGTTGGTTTTCTATAATTCAAAGAACTTTGCTTCTTTTTCTATAATTGTTTTGCTTTATCTATATATTTTTGTCCATAGTTCCAGTTTTTTCATTTAATTTTTTATTGAAGGGAGTTTAATGAATTTACTTATGTATAAGTGAGTATTATGCTATAACGAATTATGCATACAGGTTGGTGTATTAATAAAACAAGCTAAAAAAGAAATACACCACAATATTAATTTGTCCATATACTTTTGTCCATTACTGGATCTCATTCTAGGCTTACATAATGATTAGGTGAAGTCTATAAAGAACGTGGTGATGTTGAAATGGAATAAAATTCTTTTTACTTTCCATGCCTTCTAATCGCAAATGGGATATGTTTATGTCTATCGGTCTGTTCGCTATCTATAAGCGAATATAACTTGAGAACCACCGCTCGGATCTCGATAAAATTCGTATAAAATGTTGCTACTATGGCAAGGACGCAAAAGCTGTAGTTTTTGAAAATCGTTACAGTGGCGACAGAGAAAAAGGCAAAAACAAAAAAAAACAAATCGCTCAAATTTCGTTCTTTTTGACGTTGGCATATTTATACGCCTCCAACCCCAATAATTCTACGCACATAGGCATATTTCACTCATCATAGATGTCCCAGTACATTTAGGAAGATCATTTAATTTTTTGTTCATGTAAGGAATATGGCATTGTTGCAATATCCATGACTGACCCAAACAGGGTTGAATTGTACATTTTAACATTAAACCCCCCTTTTTAGAAAACGCTTTGATAGGGTAAGTTTTCGGTCATCCCAAAGGATCTTCCCAAAACATCACAACAACATATGAGTTGTTTCTTACTGTCTATTTTTTTGCGAATAAATGAGGTGTCAAATTTGTGGTTAATTGGCTACGAAGCAGACGAAAACATTTCATTGCCCTAGTTATATTCATTATAATGTCTTGATTACAAAGATATACAACATGCTAATTAAATATGTAGAACAGATATCAGAAATAGAATTTCATATTTATAACTATATGAATCGTATGCTCTACTACATTTCCACTACTGGAATGAATACTTGAATATATCTTATTTTGTCTTTTAGCTATTTTATTGATAACAATTAGATGTGTAATTTGGAACCTCCCAGCTTCTGGGACTATAGGAAACATGCAATATTTTTGTTCAATCAAAGAAAACAATCAACATTGTTTTCATATAGGACCTTAATTTTCGATTCCCCTGCTTGCTTCCACCCAATGCATTGAGATTTCAGATACACATCGAATTCGTAGACCCAAGATTCGCCCCCAGAGATGACCCGGTCGAGAAAGTCCCCCCTTTTCTCTGCTTCCAACCAATCCTCACAGCAGGCAACCCTGCTTGCTTTCTGTTCTGGAGTCGAGAGCTTCGGAAAGATTTTCGCGCCACAGAAACCTTGACCATTTTCACCAACTGCCTGAATCATTTTTATGTTTTCGCAAAAAAATAGGATTTTAATATGAAACGCCAACAGCTGTCAAACTGGTGGCTTAAGCCTGATAGACTTGTATCAACTTGAATCTTGATTATTGACTACGTAATTATGGTTCCAAACAAATCGTAAGCTTGCTTCTTCTACCTAGTAGGAATTCGTTGGACTGTCGTAATGCCTCAGCTGAAAGATACCATCCTTATAATTGAGAGTGGGTGCAAACCTGTCGGAATATACAGGGTGACTTTGAAGTTGAGTCATTAATTTTCAGATAATGATTGTAGAAGGAAGATAAACCAAAATATGTGTGTAAAAATAAAAAAAAATAAAAAAAAAATGTTACCTTGTTTTATAAAGTATCCTCCCGACAAGTATTTCAGTGCGGACCTGTATTTGATCGTGCGGTCTTGGAGCACCGGCATGCCCTCCCCTGTGAGGTCTTAAGTCACCTGATTCACGAGCCCTTTGTACTACATTCAGCATTTTCGTAAACATGTGCCATTTTTTATTCACTATTCACTCACGCGTTACCGACTGACACATCGACTGTATACAACTGAATAAGATTGTACATTGTAGTAAAAACATCGTTTCAAATTCTTTCGCTTTTTTGTTTCCGATGCGATGAACGGATAAGGCGGATTATATCCGTTGTTGCCAAACGCGAGCACATAATATTATTATTGAGACAGGGCGGTACTCAAACTTCTAAAGGGCTATAACTTTGTTACTTTAATTTTACCAGAAAAATGTTAAAGGAAAAAAACATTTCTTTTGATCAGATCTACTCACTGTTAAAATAAATGACTCAACTTCGAAGTCACCCTGTAGATCGTTATTACAATCGTAATACTCACCGTCACAGACTGCAGACTGAATACAGGCATGGTGGACGTAGTGTAAGACACCACCGACTTGAATTTGTTGTAAACAATCTCTCCGCTGCCAAACTTGTATTCGGACTTCAAGATGGCGTCCGCCAGTTTGGAAGCATCAATGAAAGTGGGAGGCAGTCTGCCGATCTCATTGCAGGCCATGATGATGTTCTTGCCGTAGAGACGTTGCAGAATACCGCGGGACTTGTCACCTACGCATACAACTTTGATGTTCTCGCCGTCCTTGTTCAACTCGTTACGGATGTGACGGGAGACGCTGGTGTGGCACGCACCGCAAAGACCTGTTTTAATGACGGAAATTATTTCATTTCAGTTGATTAAAGGTTTTCCAATAAGAATTGGTGGTTGCTGTAACGTTCAGTGTTACCTGAGATCCGTCAAATTTTATCATGTAAGCCTCTGGCAGCCGCTATAGGACATTTGCGTCAGTGCAAGATTCAGTTTTTGTCAACTATACAACTATTCTGTTACATGATTCTACTTTATTGCAACCAAACTATTTCTTATGTATTGTATAGACGAAGTGAAGAATATATAACTAACACATTACAGTCATCTTGTTTACTTACATATCGACCATTGTGAATTTCATACACAGGTATATGATAAACTTCTACACTGTGATATAGGGCTATTGAGTTACTTGCGCAGCAAATTTTATTGTGATTATCGTGCAAATTAGTTACCCAATTTCTACGGGCTTCGTATTTGATTCATATTTTGACAATGATCAAAAGTATGTCTAGAGTTTTAAGATGGAAAACTAAACTTATCTGCGTTAAATCTTCCACAAATCCTATATTTAGACACAATTACACTAATGTTTATCACTTTATATCTGTAATTTCGAACTGAAACGTAATTATTTAATATTAAATAGAGGAATAAATGTTTGCCCAATATGGCGGGTGGTTGTGTACAATCATGGCATCGTCCATGTTGTCTTTAGCTGATTAGAATATTTTGGTCTTGCCTGCAGGTGTTATACAACAATTTGACAACTGTCTGAAATGAAATACCAACAGAGTCGAATGATTTACCCAGAATTTGTACCAGATCTATATCTTCTGTTTGAACAGTTGATAAAACCTTTTGAACCAATATGCATGCGTTGTTTGTCTTAAAACATTGATTATGGCATTTTAGCATTTTAAAAAAATATGACAGCAGAAAGTTAGGTTATGGTGAAGTTGTTTACCAACATATTTAGCATATATACAGCCTTTAACAGTTACTAAACAACAGTTGTATAAGTGCTTCGGTTGGGAGCAATTTGTTGGCTAAAGTAGTAAATTTGCACAGCAAAACAACAACGCTCGGGTTTGTTTTATAAACGTTACCATGGATGCCACAACACAACCATTTTGACCAGCGTGCAAATATGCCGTATAAAATAGTTGTATAAACGTTTATGCAACAGTTAAAAATTTGCCCTATAAGGTGTTGTATAACTATGCTATAAGAATATTTTAAACACTTTATTTTAGAGCAAATATGTTGCAGAAAGTAAATCTGCATTCCACACAACATTAAGCCACCATTTTTGTGTTCAGGCAACAACAGTAGAGAGCTTTTATGGCTGAACGGTTCTTTTACCAAAAGCTTATACACTACTTTGCTAGTTGGGTTTAGCTTCAATATGCTGTTTTTTAAAACTCGATACGATTATTTGGCGCAAAGATATCTGACTTTGAAAAAGGGTCCTTCACATAGAATGTAAAGGTATTTCTGAAAACTGAAATAAACCTCCTATAAGATTTGATCGCAATTTTTTATTTGATTACTTAGTTTTGATGTTCAAAGAGTTCCTTTTTGGCTTGTTTTGGAAAGCGACCGCAGTTTTGGAACTGCTTATCACCCCTAATAACGCCACACGACGGCAGATCGACCTATTGTACGGTTTCTCCAGACCGATTAGTCAAAGTTTGAAAGAAATCTAAGGAGCACAATCTTGGTATCAAAACATCCTGTAATCTGGTTGAAAATGGAAAAATGATTTTTCTTCTTTTGATGTCACTATTGGATATATGTAACACCTTCTATTTTAAAAACAGCAATTCAGGGATGTTGTATCAATTTTTGATTATAAAGGGTTGTCCAATAGGGATGCAGGAAAGTAAACGTCAATTTGACATAGACGCCATCTTTGTTTTCTGTCACCGACATGTCATTTTGTTAGTTGATGTTTACCATTGATCGCGATGGAGTCGTATTCGATTGAAGACCGCATTAAAGTTATTCAAGAGCACTACAAAAATGGTGCAAAAATAAAAAACACGTTTCGCGCGCTTCGTGAACATTTCGGTCGCGACAACCGCCCAAACGAAACAACCATCGGTCGTCTGGTGCGTAAATTCGAGGCAACAGGTTCTGTGGCAAATCTGCCAGGCTCTGGCCGGCCAAGGAGCGTTCGCACACCGGAAAATATTGCTGTTGTGAAGGAGAGTGTGAGAGACGATCCGAAACAATCAACAACGCGTCGATCCCAAGAATTGGGCATTTCGAGAACCAGTTTGCTCCGCATTCTCCACAAGGATTTGAATGTACACGCCTACAAGATCCAATTGACGCAAGAGCTGCGTCGGGCCGACCATTTTTTGCGCCGAACGTTCTCAGATTGGCTCCTTGAACACCGCTAAATTGATGCCAATTTTTCATCAAAAATCATGTTCAGCGACGAACCGCATTTCACTTTGAATGGGACGGTAAACAAGCAAAACTGCCGCATCTGAGTGAACGAAAATCCCCGTGAGTATCACGAGCAGCCGATGCATCCTCAAAAAATGACTGTGTGGTGTGCATTGTGGTCAAAAGGCATCATCGGACCTTACTTTTTCGAAAATGCGGCCGGGGACGCCGTTACCGTCAATTCTGAGCGATATCACGGGATGATAGAGGACTATTTTTTGCCGCAACTTGAAGGAATGGATATGGACGATGTTTATTTCCAACAAGACGGTGCAACATGCCATACAACCAACGTCAATATCCATCGATTGCAGTCCTTCTTCGGTGATCGCGTGATTTCGCGCAGAGGAAATGTGCCATGGCCACCAAGATCGTGCGATTTGACTCCCTTGGACTTCTTTTTATGGGGATATTTGAAAAGCAAAGTCTACGTCAACAAACCAGCCACCCTCCAAGAACTCAAAAATAACATCATTGCCGAGATAAATGCCATAGAACCGACCATGTTGCAAAATGTCATTGAAAATTTCGACCATCGCGTGGACGTCTGTAAATCCAGTCGTGGTGAACATTTGAGCGATATTTTTCATACATAAATGGTATAAATGAACCTTCAAACTAAAGTACGCAACTTGATTTGAATATCAATCTTTCTTGTTTTAATATGCGTTTACTTTCCTGCGTCTGTTTTGGACAACCCCATACAAATGAACATTTCTGCACAATCATAAAACAGATAAAGTGAATTGTTGATACCACGACAGCAAAAATTTGAGCAGCACACATGAAAAACCAAATAAACAAATTGTTGACAAGAATTCTGAATTAAACTATTTATATTTGAAAAGTCATAGGTTGATACCCTTAATGTTTATTTTTCAATTATGTAATAGAAGTCAAATGTCATGATGAGTAAACAATTAAATCAAGAAAACATTTTGTTTATAATTATAAGATTATCAGAAATAACCTAAATAAAAATAGAATTTGATATATGACTGTTTTGCAAAAAATGCAGATTAAAAAAATAATACCATAATTTAAGTTAAAACAGATACATTACCAAAGCTCTGAAGTAAGACCTCAACTTAGCAAATGTTTATCTTTGTATCAAAATAAAAATATAAAACATGGGTGAGGCATATGGAATCAGAATAGCTTCTGAATAAAAAAAGTTATTAAGTGATGGTTCTAACCTCTGTCAGACGTGATGGCAATAACCAGCTTTTGTGGTACATCAGTGGTAGCCTCCACCTCAGCTTTCTCATAAAATTGTTGTGCCCCACTGCCGATGGGCCTCACAGCTTTCAACTCTCTCTCAGCTCTGGAGTATTTAGCAGCTGACACCATCTTCATAGATTGGGTGATCTTCTGGATATTTTTTACTGACTTGAGACGAATGGAAATGGCCTTCAAAGTGGCCATTCCACGTTGTTGTTGGTCCACAACCGCATTTTGAGTGATTGCAGCAGGCAACTTGCCCAAAGCACCAAACCGGACAAACATGACTTTCCTGGAAAAAGTATATGCTCAAAAAAATAAGGTGGGAGTATACCATGAAAAAATATATTTTGAAGATATATGCGTGAATACACAGTATTTGAGATTTCAATGTTCCGTCAAAAAAATCTTGAAAATTTGATAAATCCTGGACATAAACCTGCCAAATTTCATTTCCGACTTTCACTACAAATCACAGTATATTGTGACTGGTATAACAATATATAGATACTCCTTGTATTCCAAAATACACATTATAACATATTTACATGAAAAGAGATATTGGAAATTTGTACAAACTCATAAAAAAACGACTTTTGTGGTTCCTTACAATAATGTCACCCTCATTTGGCACAATTCAAATTGCATATTTTTGTGTAAGTGCGATAATTTAGTGATTTGACATGGATCAATGTGAAGCAATACATGAAATAATAGTTTTGAGACTAGAGCATGATTTGGAATAGTGAAACCAGTGTTAACAGATACCCTTTTGCCAGTATTTCCAATATTAACCCAGGTAAGTACATCTTTGTGAACGTCATCAGTACATTACTAAAGTTAAGTAAAAACCAAAAATTTATGTACACATACATGTAATAATATAAAGAATCTTAATTTTTTCTAGGTCACTACCCTAGTGTCACATCTCTGGTAGTTTTTATGTCAGTGCTTTTTCTACTCTTCTTCTTTCTCTACATTCTACTTTTTGTCCTGTTTTAAATAAAAAATATAAGCAATGAAAGCATCGATGACAACCCCCTATCTAGCTCCAAAACACAACCTTTACCTAGAGGGACTATGATCTGTCAGTCTCAATGATTATCTTGTTTCAAGACTGATTGAACCTGACATATTTTTTCATACAGAACTATTGAATTTATTCAGCTAATGGTATTTATATCACATTTAGTTTAAATGTCATCTCCCTGGCCACAATTTTTTCTCTGGTAGCAAAAAAGCTGTCAAAATTAAAGTAATATCTGAGCCTGTCAAATCATATGGTCTTGTGACATATGAAAACAAAATGAGCAATTTTTTTAGCTGACACGGAAAATTCAAATACTGTATATTCCACCCATATTCATATGACAATTTGATGAGCAGTGCAAGTGTCAATTACTTATAGATGATCTCCCTAGAGTCTAGTATGACTTTCAACCTTTCCTAAACCTAGTTTCAAGTTACTTTTAGTCACAACAAAGGCACAGGTATTATGTAAAAGGGAATGTTGGTTGATAATATGCACAATTTTCATATATTTCATATCTTTTGAAGTTTACCCTAGAGCAAAGTTCTTAAAATAAAACTACCATATTTTGCACTGGGAGTGCAATTAATCATCTGGTTACCTGAAAGCCATTTGTACATCATTCCAAGCTATTTACGGTAGTGAGTTGTAAGTAAGCTACACAAACTCTTACCACTGCCCATTGAGGGTCAAGTTGGTCAGTTGTAATCAACTTGAATTTTGCATGCCCAAATATAACTCTTGCTGATGGAAACCTGTGGATTTAAGACAAAAAGTCTTTACCATAATTCACCATCATATTAGTAGTTTGCAGTACTGAGTAGGTACTTTATGCCCTGAAAAAACTATTATACTGCAGCAAATTCAAGTGTATGAGTATCTGTACCCTTTACTGAAGGTCAAGAATATCACTTTCTTGGGTACAATAAGCTTAACATTAGTAACAATATACAAGTTTTAAGCTTATCAGTGGAACTATTATGTAAGACACATTGCATTTCCATGGGTCAAATTGCATATCGAAAAATCATGTGAAAAACAAGATTTATCAGCTATAATAGAATATTTATGGGCTTACCTTTGATATACGATTAGGTATTTTGTTAAACCAGGCTAATCTTTTTCATAAAATATGTTTAAAAGATGGAATACTAACCTTGTCTTTTTGCCTGCCGACCCCTGAGAAAAGAGTGACGGACTACACCGATGTCATAAAGTGTTGCGCAAGCTCGTCGGATGCAGTTTTCACAGGAAAATCGTCCGAAAAGCCACTTTTGTTAGGTATCAGAATCACTAGCACTCACGTGGAGCTCACCTGTCAGGTTGGAGCGGTAAATTGGAATTTTTTAGACGAACTCACAGTTTCGAGCCGAAATATAATTGCAGGAGCACGCAATTTAGTTTTTATGCCTCAAAGATTGTATAAACCCGTAGAATTAACTGTAAAATAATGAAGAAAACAACCAACAAACAAACAGCGAAGATTGCCAGATAACCTCAAAATTCCATGTCATGAAACGTCATTTCACTTGACGCATCGGTGGTCGGTGAACAGGACAGGACTGCAGACGATTTGAGCCTTCGGCTACTGTTCTACTGCAAAATGCTCAATTTCTACCGTTTTATATATAAACATTCAAATATACTAGTTTTCCAATGAAAACGAACATATTGCTATATTTTGCGAATGCAGACGCGCACCTCTAAAAACCGCCCCGCCCCCACCACTCAAATCCCCGGGAAGTTGGTTTTTATATTTATCAGTAGGCAAATAAGTCTTCAAAGAGATTTGAAATCGTAAGATATGTCATCGGTTTCGAATTTAGTTCAATGGCATTAAAAAACACTTCGAAAACTTAAACCCTCCACATTTTAAAATAGAACGAAATAAAAAGAATATATTTATCATTTGTAATATTTAGTAAATATACGATATAGTCAATTAGTATTTACTGGTTTAAGATATTTTCCTATGTTTTGAAATTGGATAAATATTTTCTGTTTATTAAAATCATACACTGAAATTGAAGAGAAGACGGACCAAAAATAATACTCACACATTACGGAAAAACTTAAAACTTTATTTAATCAAATATGTATATTGAAAAAGCTTTTGCCAAGTTTATTTATGAAATAACAACCGGCAACGACCACAGAAACTTCAATGAACTCTTTCACTATTGATGACCAAGGCCGACTATCTTGCGATGGTTCTCTTGGATCGCCTTTCTTCTCATCTTCTTTATTTTCATTAAGTAATTTTGTTCCTCGATCTTTTGCCGACTGCTTATGTTCAACCTGTTCTTCCGTTGTTTTTCTGTCGTTCGTATTTAGCTCCTCCAAGACCCCTTTAGTTCTTGGTTCAGTTTCAGCTTGTCCTTTAACTGATCGCTCACCCACATTTCGATTTTTCATTGATTGTTGCGCTTCATCTTCGCCTTGATTTTCCGCTTGGTTTTTGACTGCTTGTATTTTTGGTGCAGTAGCGTTTTTCGAAGCTTGTTTCTCTTCAGCCTCGCTTTCCACTTGCTCTTTGGCTACACGAATTTTGGATGCAGACTCTATTTCTTGTTTCTTAACGGTCCGATTTTCCACAGCTTGTTTCTTTTCAGCTTCAGGTAGTACTTGCTCTTTGTGTGCTTGTACTTCATGATCCATTCCTTCTGATTCTCGGTCATTTTTAGTTTGATCTTTCATGGGTTGGTTTTTGGCTATATCGATTTTGCATGTGGACTCCATTTCTGCTGCTATTACTTCTTTTCCCTCAACGGTCCTAGTTTCCACAGCTTGTTTTTTCACAGCTTCATGTGTTTGTACTGTGACATCGATTGCTTCTGCTTCTTGTTCATTTGTAGTTTGTTTTTTGATAACTTGATCTCCAACTACAGGTTCACTTGAGATCTGTTCTTCAGCTCCTTCAGCTGGCTGTGCTCTTGAAATGTGTACTTGTACCTTTTCCGTTTGCTCTCCCTCGATATGGCCTCCAATTTCATGTTCCATTGCTGACGGCTGATACTCAGGACTTACTTGTTCATTTTTTACCGTTTGGTATTTTGTTGTTTGATTACTTGTATCCTGTTCTTCTTGAGATTGTTGATCTGTTGGATGGTCTTCTACTGGTTTTTCATTTGTTTTCTCTTTTAGCTCTTTATCGTTTACAAATTGTTCTTTTCTCTCCGATAGTTTAGACGCCTGTTTAGTCGCAAGTCCTATGTTTTCAGATTCCTCCTTTGATGCGACACATTTTTCATTAATTGTTTCACTTGTCAAGCTTTTACTTTCTTCTGGTTGTTTTATGGGACTGTCTAAGAGTGCTTCAGTGATGCCTGTTAAGCTGGAAGAGGCTAAGGGTGCAGGCGTCTCTCCTATTTCATTTTCTGGTTGAGGTTCCAAAGGCGCAGGTTTTTCTCCAACACCGCCATTTATTTCTTCTTTCGTTTCAAGAAAAAGTGTAGTTTCTTTGACTATGGTTTTTCCTTCCGCCTCTTTTTCAAATTCTTTTACTTTACTTTCTGATTCATTTATTTTATTCATGTTTTGATTTGTATCTCCATCCTTAAAATTATCTATAATATGCTCGATTCTCTCTTGTACTATTTGTGTCACCCTAGGTTCTTCCATTTCATATTTTTCTCTTTCCTCATCAACTTGTTGGGGTATAGTTAACGGTTCATCTGCTAATGGTATCTGTTTCTTTTCTGTATTTGGTGCGTGTTCCATCATATCTTTTTCTTTAGCTTTATCTCTCTCCTCGGTTTCTTTTATAATGGTAACTGTAGGTGGACATACCTCTATCACTGAAACCACGGATGCTACAGATTCGCTTTCATCGTCTGACTCAGATTCGGGTTCATCGTTTCCTTCAATATCCTTAATGATGTCTGGAAGATCTCTAGAACTACCTTCACTCAGCTGCTGTCTCAGGGAAGAACTTTCCTCGAGCATTTTTCGTTTTGGAGGTAGAGGCCCCTCCTCAAAGTCTTCTTCGTCACTATCCTGATCCATTTCCGGCGGAAGATCATCTTCTGTTTCTGTGAACTGCAAGAGTCCATACTCTGTTATGGTAGACGTTCCGGGTAGAAATATTGGCTTATTCGGATCATTACCCATCACCAAACCAGGTATTAGTGTTGGTTTCCCCTCTAGCGTTACTGTGAAACCAGGTACGTATTCTGTATCACCGTTCTCATTGAAAATGGTCTGTCCAGGAACAAACAGATCGCTATCATCTAATTTGACCATTTGGCCTGGAACAAAACAAGGCTTCTCCATAAAATTCACTTTCACACCAGAAACGTTTGCGACTTGTGTCAGTTGTCCTTCGTCTTTTATAAGTTTTATTAGGTCCGGTATCTTAGGCATTGTGGGTAGTAGTTCCATTACAGCTTTTCCAGCATGTTGGAGTTTTTCGTTTACGTTCATTGTGCTTTCCATACTGCTGACCTTCATTGTTATTGGCTCATCTTCAACTGGAGTGTATTGCTCTTGGACAGTCTGCTTGGCTTGACTTTCAAATTGCTCCCAGTCAAAATTCAGCAATTGAGTAGTCATCATAGCCTTCCAGTATGGAGTGTCTTCACATGTTGACTTTTTCTTCCTCAGTGTTGTCATATTGATCATATCTAGTTCCCACTCTTCTAAGCTGTGCTCTTTTCCTTCAAAGATACGCGTCGTCGCCATAGTTTCTTTGCCGCAGTGATGAGTCTTCTCTATTTCTTTCGTTGTCCAACCATCACCTCTATAAAAGGGTGCATCGCCTACATAGTTTATTAAGGATACTGAAATTTTCTGACCATTTTTCAAAACAAAAACAGCTTTATCGTTATTCTTAGCCACCAAAACATCTATGATTTCCTTATCTCTGATAGCTCGTTCCATCTGATGGGTAAGAACCAAAGTATAATTTTTGTCTGCAACGCGGTATGTGTAACATTGACCTTGGCCTTTAGATTTTCTGGCGAAGATGTTTTTGAGCTTGACGTGACCTGGCATGCTTACATCTAAGAAAGGTGTAACATATTTCATACTAGCTTTTTTCTTTTGTCGCTTTTTGACCTGTCCTTTCACCATGAGCTTTCGTCTGGCTTGACGTTCTTCGTACTCCTCCAGGACTGGAATGTAGTGCTCCAACTTCTGAAGTTGAGTTTGACTGGCGACGAAACGTCGTCTCAAAGCATCCTTTGGCGATAGCGGTTCGAGTAGAGGCAGATAGAAGTTTCTTTGGAACAGTTTGCTCGCTTTGGTTATTTTGCACAACTCTATCACAACGTTCAAAGGCATTTCGGTGTAAATGTTTTCACGAAAAATAACTAGATTTGGGTTAGTGAAATAGTATCGAGAAAAAAAATTGAGTGTCGTTCGCGTGTCGGAATCAACTGGCAGATATCCTCGTTTAAAAATGGACGGGAATCTGCTCTTGAACTTATTTTTATTATGTTGATCATCATTAAAAAATAGCTACTAATGAAAACTGCAGTTGTATACTTAAAGTAATTAAAGTTACAGATCAACGAATGGAATGATGATGAAAGACGTTGACTTGTCTTTACCTGGGAACTCAGGGATTTGATGCTGTTGATCTTGTTGTTTTTACTTTCCACTCCTACTGGCGGAAGTGTATTGTAATCGCGAAAATTTTAGAAAATGAGATATTATGTTTTTCGGGTGTTATATGATATGTACATTACGAAAAACCATGTCACTCATTGCTTAGGGTCTGTCTGTCCGTTAATCTGATAACCGCTTGTAAGAAGGACCGCTCGGATTTTGATGAAATTCTCGCACAAAGTTACTGCTATGCTAAAGACGCAAAAGATTTGTTTTTGAAAATAGGTCCAGTGGTGGCGGTTAAAAAGGCCAAAAACAGAAAAATCTTTTAATGTTTTTAATGTTGTTGATATGCACCTTTGAGCCATCATCAAGTCTATTTCTTTCTTTTGCATTTGAACCTGCACAGTATTCATTACGCCCAATACTGAATGGCACCATAACAAATTGAGGAAAAAGGTTCAGTTCATGAAGGAAAGGACCGATCTTGCATTCATTATATCTTCGCCGAAAGCTCTCACTCTTGAACTTTCATCTTCTATCCAATTGATAATACATTCAAAAAATTTCTTCCACGATATTATCACGAAGAAAATAGATATGTCATCAAATAAAAAATTGCACAGTATTGTGAAAGTATATACAGGGTGCGGCAGAGAGGATGGACGGTTTTAAAAAAATCATTAAATAGTTAATTTTTACTCGAAAACAAATCTATTGATGGAATCAGGTTCACAAGGAAATAGCATTTGAGACAGTCAAGTGTGGAAAATCACATCACGCATGTGGTGGCCGAAATCGTTGATGCAGTGCTGGAGGCGTTCTTGGAAGTTCGCGTAGACTCTCTCCAACATCGCTCTCTCAACTTGGGCGACTTCCACGCGAATTTCGCCCTTCAATTCGTCCAGAGTTCGGGGCTTGTTCGCGTATACTCTAGCCTTGAGGTGTCCCCATAAGACAAAATCGCACATGGATAAATCTGGGGACCGAGGAGGCCAATGAACATCGCCAAACCTGGAAATAAGGCGACCAGGGAAGA